AAATAAAGTAATTATAATTATAAAGGTTTATTAAAAGTATAATATTATAATTTTAAAAATAATAATACTACTAACTAGTAAATATTATAATTTTATAATACTTTTTACTAAACTATTTATTATAAATATAAAATATAGTTTTATATATAAAAGACTAGGCTATATTAGTAAAAAATAAGTCTTAAAAGCTTATTAATAATTAAGAATTTAAATAAATAAAATAATAATTAAAGACTTTTATTATAAAGCTTATTATTTAGCTAAGTTTAAATTTATTATTAATTATATATTATTAACTAAACTTATAAAATTCCTTTAAATTATTTTTTAAAATATAATCTCTTATATACCTATTAAATATAAAGGTTTTAAAATCTTGCTTTATAAAATTAATGCCTTTACTTACTACTAATAGCTAATCTTAGCTACTAATTATAAGGATGCTATAAAAAAACTATAAGGCTAAAAGAACTAAGTAAAGGTCTTTAATAATAATTATAAAGTTTAAGTTATAGTATTTAATAATATAAGAGAGTTTATATTATAAGAAATATAAGACTAGTTTTATAAAAATAGATTTATTATTAAGACCTTTACAGCCTATACTTTTTAATAAAATAGTATAATTAAATAGGCTAGAAAAAGCTTTATAAACTTAAAATAAGTAACTTATATTAAAATTAAATTGCCTAAGACCTTATAGCCTTTATATATAAAATCTACTATATATATTTATAACTTACTGCTAACCTTATTTAATAAGGATAAGATTTTATTACTAAAAAAGATATTTAAAGCTATTTAAGTAAAATATAAATATAATATTAAGTATATTAAGACTTAGGGTTATATAGTATATATTAAGAAATATAAGAATTAGTAAGTTAAAAGTATAAAAATATACTTTAAGGTAATTAAGGGATATCTTATTAGTATAAAAGGCTTAAATAGCTATATTTATAAAGTTTATTTACTAAATAAAAATAAAGTTATTAAATTATAAAATATATAATTCTAGAAGTTAGGCAGTAGGACACTTTATAATTAAAAGGAACTAGAAATTAAGTATAAAGCTATACTTATTAACCTTAAAATTAAAAAAGGAGGCTAAATAGTAATTAATTAAGTAGCTAGACTATAGTAGGCTTTTAATATAGTTACTATTTAAAATACCTTTAAAATTAATAAAGTAATTAATAATAATACTAAAGCTAATAAATTTAAGTATTTTAAGGCTAATAATAATAAGGATATTTTTTAATAGTAATTATTAGTAAATTATAAAAAAGGCAAGTATTTTTAAATTTTAAAACTTACTTTATAAAAAGATTTATAAAATAAGACCTCCTTAAATAACTAAGACTGTTATAACCTTTATAACTAATATTTAATTAAGCCTAAAGCTATCTGCTAAAATGCTATTATTATTATTATCCTTAACTTATAAAACCTTATAATTAACACTAAGAATATAACCTTAGCTATACTTAAATAAGCTAAATTAAATTAAATAAATAAAATATATATAGCTAATTAATAATAGTATTACTTTATAAGGGGTGTTACTTAAGTTAATTATAAAGCTTTATATAAAGGAAAAATAAAGAAATTTATATTAATAGTTAAGACTATTAAATAGTAAAAGCATAATAAATTTATAAAGAAATAACTAATCTTTATAATATTTATAACTCTTAAAGTTAAGTAATAACTTAATAAAGGCATAAAGGTTTTTAAAAATTAAAATAATATTAAAAAAAAGTATAATTATAAAACTAAATAGTTCTTTATAATAGAAAAATAATATAATAATTTAATTAAAAAATAGACCTAAAGCCTAGTTATATTATTAAAGAATGCTATAATCTTTTATAATAAATAGGTATATAATTTAAAATATCTTACTAATAGTAATTTTATAGTAAGGGCATGCTTAGTTATTTAAGGAGATTAGCTTTAAGGGATAGACTATTTAATAAAAGAACTTTATACTATAATAGCCTATTCTGCATTAGTTAAAGTGTTTTATTTAATTATAGTAATTAATAATCTTAAGTAATAGTAATTTAATATTATTACTATATTTCTTAATATTAATATTAAAAAGGAAGTTTATATATAATAACTACTAGGCTTTAATAATAAATTTAGAAAAGTCTATTATTTAAAGAAAGCTTTTTATAGTTATTTAGGAGCTCCTTTATAATAGTTTAAAAAAGCTATACAGCTGCTAGCTATAATTAAATTTAAACCTCTAGATTTTAAACTTTATATTTTTAAATATAAAGATAGCATTATTTTAATCTTATATATAAATAATATAATAGTTACAGCCTTAAAAATATTAACTATTTATAATATAATAATATAGCTAAAAGGTTTATTTAAAATTAAAAAGCTAGGAGATATAGCTGTTTTTTTAAAACTAGAAGTTTATAAAGATTAAAAAAATAAAATAATTATATTTAGTTAAGGCACTTATATTAAGAAAGTTATTACTAAGTTTATCTTAATACTTTAAAATCTAGCTAAGACCTTATAGCTACTTAAAAAAATAATTTTATATAATTAAAAATAATAAGAAGTTATTATATTAGTAAAAGAATAGCTAAAATAAATAAAAAGCTTAAACTTTATTTTAATAAGTATAAGGCCTAATATTATATATACTACTTAAAAGCTTTATAAAGCTAATACTAGTTTAATAAAATACTATAAGGAAATCTTAAAGCACTTATTTTAATACCTTTATAATATAACTAACTTAAGGATTTAACTTAATAGTAAATATAATATTAAAGACCTTAATTTAAGGGTTTATACTAATATAGTATTTATTAATAACTTAGCTAAGAGATTTAGTATAATAGGCTATATTATATTAATTAAAGATAAACTAGTCTATTAAAAAAGTAAGAAATAGACTATTATTACTATAAGCTTAACTAAAGCTAAATTTATAAACCTTACCTTAGCTAAAATATTAGCTATTTAAATTAAAAAGATTCTTAATAATCTAGGTATTAAAAACTAGAAGCCTATAATTTTATATACTAATTCTTAAAATGCTAAAATTACTATTCTTAACTAATATAATATAATATAAATAAGGCATATAGATATTTATTTTAAATAGATTATTAATAAAGTAAAATAAGAAGATTTTAAAATATAGTAAATTAGTATATAAAAAATAACTATAAATAGTTTAATAAAGCCACTTATAAGGATTAAGTATACTAAATTTATAAAGCTTTTAAAAATAGTTAATGCTATTTAATAATAAAGATCTGTCTTATATTTATATATTTATTTAATAGTAGGGGTAATTATAATAAGTATACTAACTTTATTACCTTAGCTATGCCTTATTTTCTATATTCTATTTCCTTTTCTTATATTAATAAGGATTTAAACTATAATAGGTTTATATTTAAAACAGTTTAAAAGTATTAAATCTATAATAAGAAGTAGTATAAGCCTTCCTATCCTTCCTAAACTATAATTATTAAAAAAACCCTTATTATAAAAAGCATCCTATTTACTAATTAAAATAAATTTATCTCTTATACCTTTAACACTTTAAAATATAAGCATTTTATTAAACCCTAATTATTATATTAACAGTACTAATATATCTTTTATAAAAAGGGCATTTTATTTAATAAATAAAAAGATACTTAAGACTTTAAAAATAGTAAGCTTTTATTATTATATTAGCTATAATTATAACCTTATTTTTATTTTAGTAATCTATTTCTATTTTAATTAAGGAAGCCTTATACTTTAATAAGTAAGAGTAACTTTTAGACTTTAATAACTAGAAAACCTTAATTTAATTTACTTACTTTTATTAGCGCTATTTCTCCTTAATTAAAAGAATAGCAGCTATTTCCTAGATTTATTTTATATTTCTTATATATAGCAGAATAGCTTATATTTTATAATTAGTAAAATACTACTAATTTTCTAGGATATTATAATAGTGTTATAGTATATTAGTTTTAAGGGGGATATGTTAAGTGGTCCTTACCTTAATGACTTAGGACTACCCTATAACACTACAGGCCTTAGGCCTGTGATGCATTTATAGCCATTTGTTTATTTTCCTTCTCTTTCTCTTTAGCTAGTCTTCTATAGAAGAAGAGAGCTTATTGTTGCACCTTAGTCAGGTACAAGTACATGTATGAATGTAATTCTCCGTGATCCAACCTCAACTCCATCAACCCCCCCCCTTCCCTTCCCAGCTGTGAGAATCCCCAGACCATATGGACACGCCTCATGCAGCTCCTCCCTGTTCGCTTCTTGTTGATTCGATGCCTTGACTCGCTGGCATGCAGACGCTTCCTCGGGCCCCCTTCATTGGGCGTTCGATCCCCTCCACAGCACAGCACAGCACATCACCAGGCACACACACACACACACACCTACACTAGACTAGGTAACAAGCTGCATCTCTGGCCTCTTTTCTCCAACCACTTGAATCAGCCGTCCCCGCGTCTCACCGACAGTATGGCGAAATGCTACAGGTCCCTCGTATATACTACTACTACTAGGCGTCTTGGATCTTACTTGTCCACGTTGCTCTCCCCTGTTCCTGGCCTAACAGCGTCTTGTTTCCTCACGTGGTCACGTCTCTGCAGCGAACAATCTCAGTTCACTACCCCCTGGATTCGTATGATGCCGGTAGGGACGGAGTAGCAATGCAGAATGACTGGCTCTTGTTTGGTCTCACCACCGCCACTAGCTGCAGCTGTTCACAAGGCATAAATTCCTATCATGATACTTCTGCTAGTACTTCAATATGGATAATCACACGGGCACTCACACCAAGCCCGGCTTATCAGACTATGCGCCAGCTACTGCAGGGGAGCAGCCACTTTGTCCGCTAAATTCAGGATTCCAACGGGGGAGCCCAATCCAACGGTCTTTGCAAAGGGATAAACCAAAGATGGAGAAGAAAAAAACCTGCTGCGCTCATGACCTTGGCTCGCTAACGTTCACTGCAACGCCAGCACAGAAAACACACCGCCCACCACCGGCCGGGCCGTGAACTGGTTACCGGGATATCCTCCCGTGTTCGTGTCATACAGATCGGTAAAAGCCCGCCACGTCGGCGTCTCGTTGATCCACTTGGCAATCAGGGAGATGAACATGGCCTTCGTTTCCGGTCCCGCCACGGCCGCTGCAAACATCTCCCAGTCAGTCTTGGTCAGCGTGCCGCGTGTGTCGAGAATCACTCCGTATTTGTTGGCCTTTGTTTGGTAGAAGTTGCTCTGCATGTCGTAGACGGACTGCGGGATGAACTGGAGTCCGAGGGCCTTGTCGGGATAGATGTTGTACAGGAGACCTGTGGAACGCACTGTTAACTACAACATTCTGCCAATCAAGGATGCAGTCTCAAGCTTGAATTGAAAACTCACCATATGTGTCAGCTGAATCATACTGAAGTACGCTGTGGTTGGGAACCGCGGCGCGGTTGATGCCATGACGAGACCAGAAACCGAGATAGTCTCTGGCGATTGACGAGTAGTTCCCAGCCACGGTATTGTGACCAGTCAGTCTAGCTATGCGAGACATGGCCTCCAGGGCGATGATGCCCTTGATGGCGAGATTGGTTTGGTTCCTGTCATGGTGAGATTAGCAAGCGTCAGCTTTGAAAGTTGTCTAACAAGACAATCATGGGGAGGGAACATACGCAAGATGGCCTGCGAAATCATCCGTCGACAGCTGATTTGCCGGAATCTTGGCATCCTCAATCAGATACTCGGCCCACTGCGCCATCAACGTCCAGTGTTGTCGGAGGTAGTTGACATCGCCCGTTTTCTGAGCGTACGACAGCATCATGATGATCATGTTGCCGCATTCCTCCAGAGGCATGGCCTCGTCATTGCCATCGGGATAGCCCAACGCTCGCGGGAACCTGCCAAGATCGTGGATCGCATACTTGTTGGGGTAGTGGCCGCTCTCCTGGTTCTCGAGCAGGGGCGACAGCGTATACTTGATCAGGTTGGGATCCAGATACAGCATGATTGGCCACGTGGGAAAGATGACATCCACCGTCTGGATGTCACTGTTGGAGCTGATCTCCTTGAGAAACACCTGGACGTTGTCGCGGGTACCCGTGTATTGGAGGGCACCAAAGGCTTGTCGGACAGCGAGACTCGTAATGGTAAGATAATCTTGGCCGCCTGCCGCGATAGAGTCTCTTGCAATGCGGCTGTCGAGGCTGGTGGCATACTGGCTAGCGTATGTGTAGTCCTTGTAGAAGAACGGAGCCAGCTCCTCCTCATCAAAGTAGTTTGTCCACAGCGACGGAACCTCCTGCGGCGAATCGCCGCGACCTTGAAACAGGATGGCATCCTCTTGGGCGACACCAATGGTGAAGAGGGTAGACGCAGAACCGCTGCCTCCAACGGCACCAAGGTCGCGCGCAAAGGCAAAGACGGGCCTATCATCGACGTCAGTCATGCTATCATATTTGTACGGCATCGTAGCTTACCATCGATCATTCACCGCACGATATTCCGTATCGATGTGACCGGTGAGCGTACCGTTGGACAGGAATTGGCCGCGCACAACAGTATCCTGTCCAATTTGATAGGTTACGCCTCTCTGGAATAAAGTCAGCATCTGGCGTAACAGGTACCCTGCAACAGACTCACAATGTCACCAGTGGACCAGTACCAGTTGCCCCAGGAGGCTTGGTCGTTGGCTTCGTTGAATGGCTCTTGGTTCTGACGATAAAACTTGTGAGACCGAACCCCGTCGCCGGCCTGGTGCTCCCACTGAACAGTCTGTGAATTATCACCAGATGCCCATTCTATGCCTGGTTAGCCATGTACTCAGGTTCAGATCTCATGGCGACGTACCTCCTGACACATCAGTGTATATTTGGACGTGGTGTGAACGCCCATCCAGTGATACCACGGAGACCTTGAGATACGAGAAGGGGATGGATTGCCTTCTCAAGTCATCAGGGAAGACTGGGGAGAGGAACTCGGCCACCAGTTGGACGAGGCCTCCCGCGTTGAAGATAAAGGTCGTCCGCGTTGACGTGTACTTGAGTGCCTGCTGGTCAACATTGTCTGCGCCAGGGGCCCCTCCCATCCAGTTGTAGGGCTTTCCGTCCACCATGATGAATCCTTGCCATCCTTGGAACCCTTGCCTTTGATGGTGTTAGTCTTTGGCGAGTTTCCTGCGACCTGTGAATGAGTGTACTTACGTCCAGAAGCTAGGCCACTGTCCAGGGAGGTAGCCACTTGGTCGTCCATCCGTTTGGCCGTTGAGCCATACGTTGAGATAAGGCGCTCGCACGGCTAGGGGAGCAGCAGGGGGCCTTGCCGGCGAAAAGGTTGAAACCGCATCTGTGTGCCCTATGAGAGCCAAGACTGCCGCCGCAGCGACTCGCAAGAACTTCATGGTTCAATGCAAGCTTCAGGTGTAACACCGGGCACGAGTCAGAACGGAAAGGAAGAGCAGGAGACTATGGGAGAATAGATAAGGTATAGAAAGTAGCAAAACGAGAAGTATACCCGCGCTTTATAACAAAATAAACAGAGGTGTTTCCTTACAAGAAGGGAGGAGAGACAGGCTGTTGGGTGGGCCTTGTTGATCCTATGACGATGTAGGCGAATATGCTCGGCCAACGTACGACTGTACGAAAAATAGAGGCGGCACTGAGGCCTAGAAGGCCTTCAGAGGTCCACGATGTTGGTTAAGGTTGCAATTAAGTCTAAAAGTAAGTGATATTCCACCGCACTGGCTCCTGGGATAGGCAATTGTCTATAGCCCATGAGGGACCGTATACCGCCGAAGGTAACCTCGTGGCTGGATGGAGGCTCGGGCTGCGTTGCGTAACTTTCGAAAGCCAGACGAGTACCGTATGTACCTCTCCGTAAGCGCCCAGACTTTGCGTTCTAAACAAGATGTTGGATCAGTCGTCAAGTAAATTGCTGGAAGGGCAGAATCGGCCCTGCTGTGAGGATAAAGTAGGGAGATGCCGGGTCTTGGCTCGCCTAGGGCATGAGGTGTAGCATCGACCTCGAACGGGGCAATGCGCGTGATGCTTCTCGCTTGGCTCAACTTACATCCTGCGTTGGCAATGTTCACTCCCGACGATACACTACATCAATCTGAGTGAATTGAGTGAATTGGAGAAAAGAGAGATGTCATGCAAATATGACAGGAAGGGCGGGGGAGGGTCTTCAATGTCATGTCATACACGACATCAACGTGCGAACGGCAGTTTTCGGTCGAGGGCCTGGGGTCATGGGACGTGCATCCAATCTGCATCCGAATCATTCGCGGAGATGCCAAGATGTAGACTGGCTGCTCCGCAGTTCGATCAAGCTCGCTTCTTAGCCCGACAGCGTTGGACGGCCTTGGAGTGGATAAATCTGGTGACTAGTACATCAGCCAGCTGTGTCGTGGCTTCAGTGTAGGTAGTTTGCAGCAGTTCATTCATCTGCCGTAAACGGCAAAGGCAGCACGAGGTGGCGGCCCGGCCGAGTGCATACAACAATGAGGAGGCTCTGCTTTGGTGCCGTCCATGTGTTTGTACGCGGCTCTTGCTGCAAGCGGTGGCATACTCGTATGTTCCCCCCGCTTCTCCCATGACAAGACGGTTGGAAGTACCTGCTGCTCGCCCAAAGATAGGAAGAGGCACATGCAAATACTGCCGGTAGCGATGCGATGGTGCCAACTCGCCCCTCAGCGGAATCAACCCCCCCAGGCCTGTTGGACTGGAGCTTCAGCGGGGCCAACCCCAGCTTCCCACAGCTTTGCTCCGTAGCTCCCGATCATATCGGCGCTTTTGAGGGGGGGAGAGCCAGGGCCAGGCGTTCATGGAGGCGCTCCTGCGGGGAGCAACACGGCAAGCTGGTAGGGGTGTTAGGCCGCTTTCAGGGGACACAGAGACACTCACTTGCAAACGACTTACTTGTACAGCTTCAGGCTCCGGTCACGGCAGTCGAAGCCTCTCGCCTGCTTTTCGCTGGTGCCGGTGCACTGATATTGAAGCCATGCGGTGGTGATTCTCGACAGTGCAGAGACAAGGATCTGGGGCTTTGTGGGAGATTGGCTGACGTCGAGATGAAGCTCTCCAAGCCACGGAAAGAGGCAGGTACGGACAATGGAAGAATACCGCCTCCGCGATCTAGGTACCTAGTAGACAATATGTTTCTGATCTCGACTCGCTCTCCAATTCGAATCTTCTCCCTGCTTCATCTCCTTTGTGACGATGGTCCTCTCAACGCTTATCTCCGCCCTTCCAACATGTCTAAGATGCCCCTCTCCTTCTTCAGCGCTCCCCTCCGCCCTGCTCTCATCATGGGATCTCAGGTCCCAGCGCCTAGACTCCCCGCTGTCGATCTCTCAGATTCGATATTGCTTGTCCAACACCAAGTTCTGGAACCAATCGCAAGGTGGTGCATCCAACCTACGCAGCTGCTAAAGATATGTCGCGTGCCGGCTTAATGCAACCGTGCTGTGTGAGGGGACCCATCCGGATGCATCATGAGAAACACGATGCACTGGAGCGAGTGCCGGGTATGGCACCTGTGGAGGTTTTGCAGGGGCAGCTCCTCGAGGTTTCGGAGACACGCTTGGCTCTCCTCTTTGATCAAGGAGAGTCGTCGGCTCACACGTTCCATTTTCCCTGACGCGAAGCTCTCTGACAGCTACCAACACAGGACAATGGGCATCGACGAATACTTGCATGTTGTTACATCTGGCAACGAAGACGCTATAACATCCTCAAGGGAAAAAAAGCCGAGACGACCACGTGCCCACCAGTGTCAAGCCAAATGTATTGTATTGCGGGTATTACGATGATGCTGATATACACCGCGGCAAGACTACGGAACCAGCGCTTGTCACCCAAGGCAATCACAAGTTCGAATGACTCCCTCGGCCATTGTGTGACCTGAACCATCACAGAGACGCGGCTACTTTGCCTTGCTTCGCACAAAGGCTTGCATGCAGCGGTCGAAGGCGGAGCCACATGGCTCTCGAATGCGCGGTAACACAGCTGGTGGGTGTCAATGCATGAACTCTACTTTGTGCTCTGTAGCAGCAGCATCCAAATGCGGTGGCCCTTGCATCGAGCCATTATACGGGTAGTGTTGGCTTCCTGAATTCGGGCTGTTTCTTCCCTAGTACTACGGAGGGTCAAGACAAAGGGCAATGCGCCCTCAAGGTCGCATTGAGCCCGATGTCTCACGAGAAACGTATCCTTCAGCCGCCAGAAGGGGCTTGGCAACACCTAGGTACTTTCCTTACGTCTACCCAACATCAAAGGATGCAAATCCTGAGCTCGTCGACCTCTCCCTACAGCTTATACTGCTACCAACGGCCTCATGTGGCACCACGTTGAACGTGTCATCAACGGCAAAGTCACGTAACCGTTGTGGTTACGGGCGTGCCCCGTCACTGTTTTTCGATTCCGAAGCAAAAGTCGGTGTGGTGATGGCTCTGCAGTCGCAGAATACCTCTCTGATTGATGAACGAAATTGTCAGTAGGGATTGTGGAACAGCCATCTATCAAAGCTACCGTCTATGCCTTGACGTAACAACGCACGTTGGGGAGAGCTTCCACAAAGTATATATGTATGCATGATGTATAAATAAGATCAAGTAAAGAAAAAAACGCCCACGAGGCTCGCCGGCGATAGCGCACCAGCATTGTCGCCGGACCTTGAGCCTCGGTCCAAACGCGCCGTCCCAGCGATGGCGTAGTAGCACTGTCGCTGTCGAGAAATTTCCCTTCGTTTCTCACAAATGTATTGTAACTCGTCAGACAGCGGGTATAAACGCTGATGGGGTATCATAGTAAAAAAAAAAAGCAAAAGAAAAAAGGGATGGAAAACTGTGAAGCAAAGGAGCCACATGAGTAAATGCCGAAGGGAAGTTGTTGCGAGGGCCTCCCGTTAAAAGGGTCAATCCAAAGCATGATAGCGCGAAAGCATTGTCATGCTCAGAATTTTGTCCCCGAAAGAGAGAGAGCCCACTGCACACAAAGTCTTCTCTGGCGATGGATGTAACGGTGGCGGCCACTGCCATCTGTGGGAGGGAGGGCCCGGTTCGTGGTGTTACCTGGGAGGCAACCCAGCCATGAGCGGGCGGCCGCAGAAGGAAAAAGTAACGAGCGGAATAATCAAGGATGCCAGCAAGATTTGAGGGCATCCTTGAATAACAAGTGTACGAGTAATGACAGGTTGAGCTGCCCATGACTGAACGAAAGGTGTTTGGCTGTGAAGACATCGTACCGGGTCGGTGCTGTTGAAAGCAATATCTATTGGATCGAGGTCGGGAACCTTATTAGGGATGCCTCACAGAGCACCACTTAGATTTCACTGGTCTTGGCTCGTCGAGAAGTCTTTCCGAATCCGCGCTGCGTGGCCTCGCGTCTCGCTGCACCATCCTCAAACTCGCTGGCCGTGTCGCCGCCGTGGAGCTTCGAGCTCGGAGGGTTGCCCACGACCTTGAGCAGCACCCACATGACGAAGGAGCTCAAAATACTGAGACATAGGATCCCAATCATGGTGAGATTGCTCTTGCGGAATCTATGAGGCCCGGGGGCGGCATCCTCTGGCCAGCCTGAGTACAGGGCGTATGTGGTGGTGACACTGCCAAGGTTCCCCAGGCCAGATACCAGAGCGGTTGCGGCTGCCACGCCGACCTCGCCGTGGCGGCGTTGGAAGATTTCAGAGGTCCAGGTCATGCAGATGGGGACTGTCGGTCCCAGGCCAAAGCCCACCATCAGGAGACCGCCGTAACGAGCCCAGCCGTTTTGAACGGCAAAGGTGGTCATCAAGAGGCCGGCAATTTGAATGCAGACAGCAGCGGAAAAGAAGAGCGGTCTGAGGCGGTGAAAGCGATCGGAGACTGGTGTGACCAGGAGAATGGCGATGAGGTCCATCTGAAGGATGCTCGGTCAGAACCTGGACTTTGTGGAAGCGGAAACGAACAATACTTACAATCCAAATAGGAGCAAAGAGCAAGCTGACGACAATGTCACTCGCCTCTGGCTGGATCGCGGCAATGATGACCGAGCCGTAGAGCTGGGTGCCTATTCCGACTCCGACAACTCCAAAATACATCAGACAGAGGGGCCACAGCCGCCAGTCGAGTAACACAAGACCGAGATCCTTGAGGCCCCATGGACGGGTGTGGTAGACGCGCTTGAGCTCGGAGTAGTGGACGATGGCATCTTGGCCGGTAAGCACTTCAGGGGTAGCTGGAAGCCACTTGAACAGACCAGTGCGCTCCCTCACCTGGCCTGGCGCCAGCGGCCGGTCTGGGAGCCACCATAGAAGCGTAACACTGAGGACGACGCCGACAAGTCCGTAGATGAGGAACATCCACCGGAAGCCAACGAGACCCCCGTCGCCATCCATCAGCTGGAATCCAGCCGAGACGAGGCCGACGACGGCAGCAGACACCTGAGATGCGGTAAAGTACATGCCGATGCGCTTGGCAGTTCGAGACGGCGGGTAAAACAGCGTCAGATAGAAAGCCATGCCGGGCCACATGCCGGCAATGACCAGGCCCAGGAGGAAGCGCAGAAACTTGAGGCTCCAGGGGGACGAGACAGCGGCGAAGCAAGACCCAACAACACTGGTGGCGAAGACGATCCTAGCCATCCACACCCGGGGGCTGAGCTTGCTCATGATGAGGTTGGACGGGAAGTCGAAGATGACGTAGGACACGTAGAAGAGGGCGAGGGCGGTAGAGACGTCTTTGGGGGTGAGGCCGAGGACGGTCTCGAGATCATGGCCCTTGTCGCTGTTCATTGTCTGAGCAATGCCAATGTTGGAGCGGATTGCCGAGCAGAGAAAGTAGAGGATCCAGAAAGCTGGGATCTTGGTTAGGCTAATGGTTCGGTAAGATTAGAGAAGAAAAGCAGATCCTGAGGACTGACGTGGAATGATTCTGAGATCAATTTTTCTGATAAAGGGAGTTAGCTCGCTACCTGATATAATTTCGTTATGAGGCAGGGCATGCATACCTGTAGACTCTCTCCACCGTTTCGGTGTCGTAGTCGACGTCGGCCGGTCGGACACCGCCCTCATCGTGGCCATTGGGCCTCTGAGATGATGCAGAAGGGGAGCGAGCGATTGTTTGGCTCGCGTTTGCTTCCTTGAACTCGCCATCAGGCGGTGCTGCTTGTGACGCCATGCTGTGATGGCACTCTTGGTGTCTGACGAGGGCAATTCCGACCGGCACGACAATGAACTGTAGAGGGACAACAAAAGCTTCGAACAAGTTATTTTTTTATAAAACTAAGACAAGCGTATGATTGATGCTGTCCAAGAGCTTCAAGGAGAAAAAGAGTCGACGAGATCAAGTTGAGCCACAAAGTGGGGGATGAAGCTCTTATGATGCTCCAGATTTTGTGTGTAATACCTAAATCTAATCTACCGCGAATAACCAGCTCAACAAGTTTTTTTTTTTTTTTGTTAACGCCTCGGTAGCCGAGGGCTTCCAGCGGAATAAGGTGCAAGAAGCTACAGGAGCTAAGAGCGAAAAGGACTGACGGGCCGAAGCCGGATTGCGATAGGGCTGTTGAGCAGTGGATTAGGTGCGATTCATGTCGTCGGTTCTAGATCCTCGATTGTTTGTTTGTTGAGCAGTATAGGGATGCTTTGTCTTTGAGTGTTTTATCCAATGTCTACATGATCTGGTGAGATCTTACTACTTCCAGTAGTAGATGATGCCAATGCTTCAGGTGACTCTGCTCGTGCCTCTACTACTAATAGCTGAGCTCCCTGCTTGGTATGTAAGGCTGAGTGATTTTGCAGCTTCCGTGGCAGTGGTTCGGCACTCGGATCTCGCCGGCGGTTCAAAGGCGGGTCCTTGCAAGCATCGATCTCATTCAGATCTGTAGTACTACTACTACTAGCTGTATCTCTAATATGCAGGTAGTATGTATCAATATGTTGCTGTAGATGCTGAAAGTGTGAGTTCGACGTGCGAACATTGCCGAGGCTCTAATTCAAGAGTCAGGCTCTTCATTGTTCGCAAACGTGCATCATGTCTCGGATCACCGATGCCTGGATGGTGCTACATGCTGGGCACCTGTGTGTCAGGTACAAGGAAGAACATGTAGGTACATGTAGGCAGACATCGCAATCTGCCACCAAGAGTCATATTTGGATATTCCCTTTCCCCTCATCAGATTCCTCTCTCTTCAGTGCCGATTTCTTAGAAATTCCAAGTAGATTTATGCTGCATGTAACGACAGGTCCTGGCTCGCAGTCCTCATTGTCCAGCTCGCACTGCCGCGGGTACCTCGTCCTACTACTACGCAGATTGTCTGCCTGAGGATGCCAGGCGTTGACGCCAATTCCCCCCCAACATGCAACTGCCAGCCTCGTTTCTCCCCCTGCCTCGCCATGCGTCAATGCCTGATATTTCAGTCCACCGCCGCGACAGCCTTATTCTGCCCTCCCGCACGGCTGCGGCTCTGTGATTCTGCATAAAGCCGCCATCTGTCCGCCTCAGGCCACAGCTTTCGCGCACATCTCCAAAATCTCGTTTGTCCCTGGGGGGGTCCCTGTCCGACTGACGTCTCTCTGGCCTGCAACATGGGTCCTGGAGCCTGGATCTACCGCAGGGTTACCGCGATGATGACACAAGTCCTCTCGCAGACGCCCTAGATCATGCGTAGGACGCGTCTGGATGATCGATTTCGAAGCATTCCCGGCGACCAACACGCAATACGCCGTGCATGCGCAAGCAAAGAGCTATTTGCGGAACGCCGACAGCTGCCAGCCAGACAGTCTCGAAGATCAAGTGACTACCTTATGAGACGGGGGATCAACGGTTGCCGCCTCAAAGGGCTGAGCCCATCATCACTTTGCCCTCGTGGCAGTTCCGGTTCGGATCTTCTCATCGATTACTTCGTACACATTCATCTCAGCCGTACGACAGGGGTTGAGCCAAGCACACAATGACCGCTTGCCGCAAAATAGGCATCGCCGCCGCCTAGAAGGATGCCACCACTTCCGTTACGGGTAAACCTGGAGATACCAGGGGTGCATGAGGAAACCTCAAAGGCATCCACCGAGTCCTGCGAGCCTTGAGGATCCTCGGCTCCTACAGCTCGTTGACAGCCACCCATCAGCTCCGCGCCGTGGCTGAGAGCAATGGCCACCGTGAAGCTGGATCGCCCGTTGGGGACAGCTTCGTCCTTTGCGCAGCCTAGCGCCGACAGCTCAGCGAGGAAAGGCGCCTGGCTGGCTTCAGGCTTTGAGGTCCTATATGCGACGACTACCGCGGCGTGAGATGAATGGCCGCCCACCGCCAGGCAAGCATTCAGCCCGTCCCTCGGGTCGGCCTCTCGCCAGGTCGGCGGGTTATGCCTAGCTCAACTGCGGATGCTGGGTTCACAAAGATGCTATGCTCAAGTGAGCCACGCCTTGGCTGCCGCCTGGCATCCCGCACTCGCCAGCTCTTGCGCCGTGATATCGCCTTCATCAGACGAGGCGCAGCTTGGGGTGTAGTTTGCCCCACGTGCCAAGGGTTCGTGTGTCATGGAACTCTCGCCCAATGAGTCACTGGAGATGGCATCGACAAGCGTCCGGAGGCGGTGGACAAGGCGCTGGTTTTGCACCCAAATCGGGAGCAGGCCTCATACGAGCGGTTCTGGTGCCTAGAAGAGCTGGGGACTTATTTAGGGGGCCGAGGAAGCGCGTTCAGGCTCCCCAAGCCAGTGACGTCTCAGCAGCAGCAGCAGCTTTTACAGGCCAACCCCAAGTTCACGACTCTCCAACAAGCCAAGTTGCCTCCGCAGCTGGCAGCCTTCGGAGCTCACGAAATTGCGACGCCACACAGCCACCCACCAGCCACGCATTCGAGTTGCCTCCCGCCCCGCGAAATCACGTGCTTCTCACCTGACTAATCTAATGATCTGGTCGGCAAGCGGAGCAGACGACAACCTTGTCAACGACATTCATACCAGAATTTTCAGGCCATCATCCCGCTCTGCGCGCCCTCAGACTAATAATCCAAGCATCGATAGCCGGCGCAGCTGCAATTCGTCGCAGGCCGAGGACCTCACAAGCCGACGGCCAGCTGCCGCTCCCTTCCCCAGAGGCCGCACCTCGACCGCTGCCGCTGCTTCCGCCTCGCCTCGACAGCCAGCTTCTCCCGCTCTCCGGCGCATCGCGCAGCTCAAGGCCTTGTATCGGCGTCACCCAAAACTGCAGCTGGGGTACATATCCGACCTGCAGGCCACCATGAGCGTCGCATACGAGCCGCGGTCCTTTATCCACGAGGGCGCATACCCCTCCATGGGCGAGGAGCACGACCATGTTGCCGAGCAGCGATTTACCGATTCCGATGTTGCCGAGCACCTCAGCCATTATACCGCAGAGGCATCGCTGTTGCCGGACGACAGAGGCGTCATGGGCGATGAGAGGGACATGCTGGCAGATGACGATGCCGTGGTGCCGGAAGCGTCTCAGCTCGACCTGGGCGCGCCCGAGTTCTCATCGCCTCTACCAGTGGAACTACATGCGCCTCCGCTACCAGAGCCCATACCAGAAAGCAAGGAACCTCTACCGACAGACATATCCTCCCCGACACTACGCTTGAAGCAGATCCCCAAGCCAGAGCGTGAAGTTCACAAGAAGTCAGATGGAAAATTCCACTGCCCACTGGATGACTGCAAAGAGGAAGTCCGCGCATTCTCTCGCAAGTGCGAGTGGAAGTAAGTCATCCCCCCCTTACTCGTCTTGCCTTGCGCCCAAGCCAACACTTCCACAGCAAGCACATGGACAAGCACGAACGCCCCTATCGCTGCCCAGCCGAGGGATGCGAGAATTTGCCCGGTTTCACCTACTCGGGCGGGCTTCTCCGACACGAGCGAGAGGTTCATGGGAAGCACGGCGGGCCCAAGAAGACCGTCAACTGCCCGCATCCCAACTGCAAGCGGCACACTGGCAAGGGCTTCTCGCGACAGGAGAATCTTAACGAGCATCTTCGGCGAGTGCACACAAATCCCGAGGCCACTTCCGCATCTCCACCGCCCGAGGCCGTCGCGACTCCCGAGGACAACGACAGCGACAAGTCTGGGACGAAGCGCAAGCGCCGCATGAGCAGCCAGGGCGTCGACGAGCTGTCTGATCTCCGAGACGAAATCAAGCGAGTGCGCGAGGAAAACGAAAAGCTCAAGTCCGAGATGGACCAGCAGTCGCAGCACTCCCTGGCCATGATGGCGCAAATTGCCGAGCTGCAGGACGCGTTGCGTCACAGCCTCAATCCTCATGCGCTCGGGGCGCCAACGGCTCAGATGATCTAGGAGCCTCTGGCCGAGGAGCTGAGCCTCACCGGCGGTGTCACATTTGACGAGACTCCAGAGAGCAGCATTCCGTCTGAGCGTTGATACGGCACCTCTGCTCTCCACCTTTCCATTTGCTCTTCCTTTTTGTTTCTCATCTACACATCCCATCTCTCTCATAAAGACCACATTACTATACATACACTGCATAGATCTTTCTTCCCCTTATCTTCCCTTTATGAGCGTTTTTGCTCCGCCATATCCCCCTCCTACTTTGCCCCTTGCATCTATCAAAAGCTCAACCAACATCAAGTTGGTGAGATATTTGGAGCCTATATTTATCTCTGTTAAATTTCCTTTTTCCTTACCACTCGAGGCATCGTTTTACCGGAGGTGGTTCCTTTTGCTCTTCAGAGGGATGCCTACCTATTATGGTCTTCCCGACGGCGTTTCACAAGGTATCAGGGGCGGCTGGGCATGGGAGAATATGAATTACATGATATCCTAGGTTCTCTTTTTTTTAATCTTTTTACGCTCAACTGCATATTAAAGAATGGTTACAGGTGGTGTGGTTTTTTTTTTTTTCCCCTTCGTCTTTGTTCCTTCCTTACAGCACAGTTTGGGAGGGGTGATACAAGGTCCTTTCCTGTCAAGATGAATCGTTCATCATGTGTATGATTATGCTTATTCTTATCTCTTTTCCACGATTCAGCCGGAGCGCTGCGCTTTGTGTCTTCCCCCCCTTTTTTGACCCCCCTCCCCCTTTTATTTTCTTCTTTTACTTGTACTTTAGACGACGAAAGAATCTCGCCTCTGCGTGATATGGGAGATGGACGCTTGTGTATCAAAAAAGATGATGGCCGCTTTTATCAAGCGGCTTCAAATATACAATCTTCACACTTTCACTTACAGTATCACAATATCCCGAAAAAAGCGATTATAGGACGCCGTCCCCTCCCAAAGAAAGTCGTCAAGACAAACAAGGACGAATCATGTCGTATGATGCATCCAAGGCTTTCCATTTGTCCCATCGTCAAAAGGAGAAAGAAAAAAGCGTTCCTTATGTACACATTCTCCAGCTAGGTACTAATCACACCAGACTCCCGCCTTGTAGCCCGCTCTTGGTACATACCTCGTTGTCCAAACCTCCTCCTCTTCTTTGAGATGCTTTCTGGTGAACCCCCCAAGATAATTGCTCTCCTTGGATGCTATTTGGACTCCTTCCCCCTTGCTCATAAGCAGATCTCGCTCCTCTCGAGCTTTCCACATGAGGCAACGTCCCTCCATCTCCTCCTCTGATTTCTCCCCTACACCTCATCAACCTACAGACAATCATGAGAGAAAAAGGAGGCTCCCATCTCCTCACCACCTGCTGCCTTGCCTACACAGCTTGAATATAATTGGCAGGGACACTCGCCGTCACGCCCGCCTTTTCCACCTCGGCCCACCCATCCCCCGTATCCTCCTTGATCAGCACGAAGCGCTCGCCCTCCGTCATCGAATGCTCCGCGTCGCTCTGGGCCGTGTAGTCGTACAGCGCCTCCACGTACCGCAGCTTCTTGGCCCCTCGCTTGGGCGCCACCGCCGGGCCCTTCTTCCGTGAGGCGGCGCTGGGGGTTACTGACGATGTGGTGGACGTGGAATAGGTGGAGGATGGACGGGCGGACGATGCCGTGGAAGCTGACGGGGTAAAGTTGAGATCGATATAGGTTGCCGGTACAAGACCTTCCTTGTAGCCATCGCGGACCTTGACCCAGCCGGAACCATCTGCAGGCCAGAATATGAGACTTCAAGACTTCGAAAGAAAAAATAGAGGGGAGATAAGGAGCTCCAACTTACCATCTGGTTCCAACACCACCACTTCTTTGCCTTCCGCTACTGACAGCTCCCCGTCACCGCCGGCCTCGAACTGGTACAGCATCTTACCCTTCTTTTCTTCCCTTTCCAGAATTCCATTCAGACTTCCCGCTGGTGGCTGTGAGATGTACGCCGTGGGAGGGGGCGCAATGACCCTGTTCCTCTTGGCGGGGGCTGCAGTCGCAGGTGCCTTTGCCGCGGCCGCAATCACCTTGGGAGCGGCCTCAGAGGGTGCGTCCTCCGATGGTGTCTGTGGCGCGGATAGGACAGACTGCCGCGAATGCGAGCTCACTGAAGTCATCGTGTTGGAGCGGGTCAGGTTTTCGTCGGAGACGTGCGATGCCGCTGCTGGATCGGCCGCAACGAGCCTGTTGGTAGCAGCCTGGCGCTCGGCCTTGAGCTTCTTTCGCTCTTCCTTGTTCTGCTCGCCTGGACAGTCCGCGGGCACCTTCATCTCGCATTTGCTGTGACACGTGTATCCGCAGTCTCGGCAGTCAAAGCCCTTTGCGCTCAAGCCCCATATGCGGTCTCCGCACAGGTCGCAGTTGGTGGGTATCTTGAACGTCTGGCTCTTAAAGTTGTGATTCTTGGCCCCTAGCGTCACGTCGCCCACTGCGCTCGTGATGGTGGTGGTTTCGACCTCGGCTGTGAGTCGCTTCTGGTCGGTGGCGATGAGATCCTCCTGCATGGCGAAGAGCGTGCGGATGACTTCCACCTCGTCCTTCTTTTCCTTGCCCTCCCGAACTCGCTTCTTGACACCCTTCAAGGATTCCACCTCTCTGCGCTTCTTGTCCACTTCTCTCCGCAGCTCGCCCAGCTGAGCCTTGGATTTGGTGAGCACGTTGCGCAGGTAAATCTTAGCCATCTCGTCCACAACCATGAGATCGTCATCGTGCCAGACGGGGCTGGGCTCGAAAACCTTGTCCGGCGGCTCCTGGAAGGCGCCCATGTTGTGGCGCATGTACATCATGGAGTCCAGGTGCGGCAGGTTCCTCTGGATCTCCTTGCCCTGGTGCTCGATTAAGCCGTTGCTCTGCTGAAGCATCGCGCTCTCCAGCCGGGTCGCCACGTCCCACAGAAAGTTGAGCTTCAGTGTCCGGAACTCGCTCAGGTCCTGCAAGCTGTCCATGACCTCGGGGACATACTCGTGGTAGTACTTCTCCTTTTGCTTGTTGGTAACATTGATGGCGATGAGATAGGTGTTTTTGGCGTTGTTCATGTCGAAGAGCTGCTGCTGGTAGGCGCTCTGTGCCTTGCTCTTGTCGTGGTGCGACTCGGTCTTCTTGCGCTTGCTCTCGAGATCCTGGCATGTGGCATCGTATTTTGTCTTGACCTTGCGCAAGTCGGCGTAGCAGGCGTCGCGGCTGGCTTCCAGCTTCTCGGCGTAGTCGGCGTGGCGCTTGCGCAGCTCTTCGAAGCGGGTGTTGTAGAATTTGAGAGGCTCGGCGACCTGGGATATGAGGCTGTTTGCATAGCGGTCGTGTTCGGAGGCGCGGGACTCGAGCGTCGTGAGCTGGGTGGACCAGGTGGTCAAGGAAGCGCTGTTGGGAAAGGCATTGTCAGTATCATTGCGTCTCGGGCACTCACTCTCCGCTGATGCCCAAGAAACCGCAGCCAACCGCAGCTCGCTGAGTATCTTCCTGCCAGGGTGTCGTGTCTCACCTCTCGAGCGATCCAGGAGTCAAGGTCGGGGTGTCGCCAACGCTGAGCTGAGAGACCTTCTTATTCTTCTTCTCAAAGTACTTCTTGGCCAGCGCATCGAGCTTTGCGCTGTATTCCTTTTCGATGGCGGCGCGGTCGCGGTAGAACTGCTGGAGCTCGTCGAGCCAGGCGATGCCGTGGCCGACCCAGGCGTTTGCCGCCTTGAAGCCATCCTGAGGGGGGGGTCTGTCAGCGTCGCGCCAGAAGTCAAGATGCCCGTTGCCTCTGCTTCCTCTTCTGCTCCCCCTCTTGGTCTCTTCCCTTCCCTTCCATTCGTTCAAGTCCTTCCGCAGTCTCTTCTCTCCCTTCCCCCTTCGCCATGTCCCCTTCTCATCATCATCCTCCACAGGGAACCACCTCACGCAAACTCGAGAGACGCACCTTTAGCTCTGCGCCAAAGGTGGGCACGGCGTCCACCTCGGCCATGATGAGAGAAGAAGCCACTGACAGTCTCGGGTCGGGAAGCGGGCCATGCAAAGCCGGCGCCTAGAGATATCCGCTGAGGCCGAGTCCGGAGCTCACGGCCAATGCTACAGAGACGCAGAGGCCCGTCGTGTGGCGGTTGTGCAGCTTGACTCTGCTGGAACGTGGGGGGAGTCAGATTGGGGATAATGGGGGAGATGAGAGAGGATGCGCGGCTTCTTGTCAGGTAAGGCGAGGCGCAGCTCTGGAAACAATTGGAGGCTCCAGACGCCGGCCAATGAGTTGGTCAGGCAACTGGCAGGGGGCTTGCGGCGCTAAAGACGCGGCGGCTCTACCGCTATACCGCCTGGACGGCCCCCCGAAGGCGCCCCTAAGGGTGGAGCCACTGGCCCCCGGGCCTTCTGTGCGGGACCCCTGCGAACTGCTGGCGGTGCTACCCCGCCAATTCTTCAGCGCTGCCGCCGAGACGCAACGGCAAAACGTGGCACTCGCGAAGATGAGACGAGCTAAAGTAGGTACCTGCTGCACGAGGATCGCCAACGGAGACGAGGCCTCTCTGACAGTCTTGATTTTATTGGTAATTTCAAGTGCATGCATGACGCTTGTCTCGTGTATTGGCTGTAACTTGTTTGAAAGTGATTATCGTGATGGTTATGTTAGTAGAAAGGAATCGGTATACTAACTCCGAATGCTGTAGGAATCCCTGTTTCCCCCTGATCGCCCCTCAAAGCGTTGGTTGGATGGGGCTCTTCTTCCCGAATGCTGCACGTTTCTGTACCCAGAGATGGTCATGGAATCCAAGAGTCTGTCCAGCAGTGGGTAGGTACTATTAGGTTCCATGTCTCTCCTCATGACGATCATCCCTCGCCAAACAACCGCTCCGAAACTGCCGCTCAAACAGCCCTCGCCCTCCATCGCCTTTGAAGCTGTCATCGATTCCGTTCACATCTTGACAGGCATCATTGACATCCCACCCCTCGTCATTTCTTCATAATCCCCCTCCAACCACCTCAGCGAGTCGCCAGGTTCGAACCCGCCACCCTGCTCGGCACCACCATATGGCTCTCGACCCAGCACGACACCCCGTCGGGCGTGTCCCACCGCGCGGGCTCGACCGGCTGGATGTGATACTTGTCGGGCCCCGTCGTCGGCGACGCCTGCAGCAGGTCGATGCCCGCCTGCGCCGCCTGCCACAGACAGTCGCGGTTGGCGTCCTGCAGCTCCTCGTAGACGCCCAGCACCGTCACCGTCACGCCGTCTTGGTGCAGGATGATGTACACCCGCCGGTCGCGGTCGTGGGGGACGCGGTATGCCATGGGTGGGCGGCTGCGTTCTTGTCTGTCTGTTCGTCGTCTGTCTCGTCCGTTGAAGGTTTCCGCCGCCTTCTTCGCCTCCAGTCCGCGAGGCGGCTTGACGACAAGTTCCGTAGTATGATGTCTCTTTTGTCCGGTTCAGAATTCGGCGATGGTGATGGTGATGCTTCTTCTCGGTTTACCTGTAACAACCTTTCTTCAAGGCCAATGTCAAGCAAAAGCCGTCATCATGATTTTCCCCAGACTTTGCCAGAGCAGTACTATGACGTAGGGCATAGTAATCCGCAGCAGTGCAGATCATCGACCGATCTGTTGCCAGGTCCAGGCCTGCTTGGGGTACTACCTCAAACACTTATAGTACATGTAATAGCGTTGACTGCTCGTCAGGGCACTGGGCACTGCACACCGCTTACTGTAGAGCTTCCCGTTGAATATGTAATTCCTTGGTTCTTGGACCGCCCATGCATGGCGTTTGCTTGAGGTCATCATTGCCAATTCGCCTCTAGGGTTGGACATCCCACCCTTTGTGGCGACATTAGCACAAGCTTAAAATTGCACTTTGGCGTTTGAGCAGCTTTGCTAGACAGCACGTGCTTCATCTTTAACCCAACCGCCATTGTCTACTGCATGATAGATAAGTAACCGAAACTTCCAATACAAGCACTAGATCACTGTGATTAATGAGGTTGTGTTTCCACAATATGACCTGTTGAGGGGCTCTTGTTAACCTCCTTGCCTGCCATAGTCCATACATACAGGTACCTACTTACCCGGAAGTGCTCAGTTGACTCCGAGGTCAATCAGACGAGACCCTATCTTGACTTAGAGGTACCCAGAGGATCTGCGGCAAGATGAGTTGCACTTCTACAGCTTGTGTACGTCGACTTTACGCAACAGCGGGTAAAGTTTACGGCGTACCATATTGAAGAGTAGAATTGGAAAGTTTGACATGCCTAGGTGATGAGAGATGGTAACGATCAATTGAACGAGTCCCATCTGTAAGGCTCCTTAACGTCCCACTGAATAGACTACTAACCAGCTATGCCCCATTAGCAATAGCAAGCACGGCCCGATATATGAGTTCGAGGTCTTGGACATTCTTGACTTTGAGTTGCCGAAAACATTACGGGACGTACTTCCTGATGAGACACCCAAAGATGCAAAACCTTCAACCCTGCATTCCAGAAAGACTTGATCAAGCTACTATAGACTGACACCGCCGTCCACTAAATCGGGCCCGAATCTATCCCTTCCATTGCGGCTTCGGTATTTCTCTCCCTAGGGAACAGCCGTCGAGAACCATAAGTGATACAATAGGGGACGTGACACGGCCAATCCTGATCCAGCCCACAAAGACAGAGAGGATAATACAAAAAGGAAACTCCGCCCAGATTAGCAATGATGTATCCAAATACCCCCAATTAGCCAACATCCCATCAGCATAGCTGACCGGATACCATCGCTGGACGGCGCCTGTGTCTCCCAAGCCCATCAGGGGCAGCTGCCAGCCCGAACATGACGCGTATGCGCAAAAACAGACCCATGAACAAAAGACAAGACAGGACGAAAGATATAGTCCCAAACAGATTTGGCAAGGCCATGGCCTACGCCTTGAACGTGTGCTTTATTGGCCATCAGAATTGCTTGCTGTGGCCTCCTCTGCTGCAACTCTCAAGTCATAAGTGAGGTCGAAGCATTCGGCAAGCAGCTCGCTGACACTGCCTTGACCTTCGGGAATGTCGCCGTTGACGACAAATTTACCGTCCACGCGAAGGTTATCGAGCGAGTTTAGCTATGATTGAGGCGTTAGTACAACAAGTCCAAGGTTCCCATCCCAGCACCCAACAAGTCGTTACCTTCATGCTGTAAGGATACAGTTCTCGGACAGAGGATACGCCACCACTGTTTCTCACTTCGAGAAGACACCTCTTGAGGGTCTGCAGCTGGTTGTAGACGGGCAGCAGAGCCTCAGAGACCGGCTCTGAGGCGAGGATGAATGAGTAAATGTACGCGTAGCTTCGCCTGATGAGGTACAGCATGGTTCGTTGTGTGTACAGGTCGGCAGGCCGGCCCCTGTCGTCGTAAAAGTTCCCGTTTTGCCGGCTCTCGTCAATCTTGTCGAGCTGACGCTGGAAGTCGTATAGGTCGGTCTCGCGAAGAGCCCAGGCCTGTGTCAAGGACAGCTTCTCGAGTTCGTTGCGGATACCAACAAGCGTCTCGTATGTCGGGCGGAACTGCTCTGGCATGCTTCCTTTTCTGCGCCGGTGTTAGTGAGACAGGCAAGCCTTAGACGCGCCATTCATCTGCTCACCTCTCCAGTACCATCTCTGACCACTTGAGGCAACGCTGGTATAGCTCCCCAAGTTCCACAGATCCTTGTGGTACGTTTCCATTCTCGTCAACAAATTGGCCGTCTTTGCGCTTCTCTCCAATATCGAGAAGCTGCTTTTGCAGCTTTTGCACCTCGGCAGACGAGAACTATGCCAGTCTAGAGTTAGCGACCCGACTGGTTATAAAGGGAGTAACATTGGTCGCACTTTTGCTTTTGTGTTCGCCAACGATATAGATCGCAGGATAGAAATCAGCTTCTCGTGCGTCGGGAGCAGAGGCTCTCCGATGCGCCCTAGTCGCTTCTGAAGGTTCTCCAGTGTTGCCAAGCACTTGGTTACCCTGTTCGACAGGAGCTTGAGGAGATACGGAGAGTTTTCGGCTTTGTGTTCGCGAGATTCGGCCTGCTTTATGCTGTTGGACAGGTTCGTCAACGTGGTCTGGATGCTCTCGAGGTCCTTTGCCGAGTACAGGTCGGCTTCGGTTAAGTGGTCGAGCAGCCGCTTGATTGTGGAAGTCAGGGCATAGTTTGCGGGTAACTCATTGTTGCGTCCAATTGTGAGGTAAAAAAGGGAGAGAAGCTGGAAGCAGCTCTCCAAGACCTTGTCAACTGTAGAATCATGCATTTCAGTAACTGCCCAGCTCTCATGATTCGGGATGGACAAAACACACGTCTATTCTCCTCCTTGTTTCCCGTCTCGGTACGGATCTCGTCCAGCTCTTTGACTCTGCTGATGGTCTCGTCGTATAGAGGTATGACGTCCTGGCTGCGAATATACGTTGTGCGGTCCTGCTTCAGCAGCAGCAGTTTGTCGCGAATGACGACGAGGCTGTCGAGAACGGCCTGTTCCCGGGCATCCTGCGGCAAAGGGACAGCTGGTGTATCCATGGTGTAGGTGAGGCGGTGACAGCCGATCCAAGTAACAAACAGGAGGGTAAGAAGGCTAATATGGCTGATTCTTCCGGGTCGGCGAAAGGAAGCTGTCGACTCTTCGGTTTCCAGCGCTTCCGGGAGTGACGACGCAGAAGTGTGCAGCCCGTTTCGGGTTCTGTCGGCCAATTGTGAGGCTCTGAATTGATCGTCTGGTGATCGCTCAGGGGGATTGACAGCGCACGTTCAGCGGCAGCTGGCGATCAGGCTGCTGGCAGATGCAAGGACAGGAAACAGATCAAAGAGGCTCGTGAGGCGCAAGCAACCAACAGTCAGGAGCAGGAGAAGTCGCGATACTGCCGGTCTTGCTTCAATGCAGAAGATGGTGGGGAAACTTCAGCTCAAGGTGGGGTGGCGTCTCAACTCTGTTTGGATGCTTTTGGGAGAGTGACGACGTTGCGCATCCGGGCGGGAACTTTGGCTGCAGCTGAGACACGGCCGCTGATTGGCTCGCTGGATCCGGCGCCTCGAGCCAATCAGCGAAGCGCAGGGCCCGCTTGCGGCGATCGCCTTCTAACTTAGTACTACTACCTAGTAGATATTACTGAGTGTAGTAAGCAGAAGCCGGCACGCGGAAAAACCATTTCGCCCTGCGCTTTAGGTCTTCAAGCCCTCCAGCCCGCGAAATTTCGACCGGGGCAATTTTTTGTGGTCCCGCGAACTGCCTTTTGTGGTTGATAATTGAATTGTCCAAACCACAGCTCTTCTCCCGTGCAGACTTGACATCTTCCCATATCCGCACAGACAAACCACACACAATGTCTACCGCCGAGCTCGCCTCTTCCTACGCGGCCCTGATCCTTGCCGACGATGGCATTGAGATCACCGTGAGTGCACCCGTTCTTTTTTCCAGAAATTTCGTCTCGTCTTGTTCCGAGTTTGGTGGCGCAGAGGAGGGAAGGGAAAAAAAAGAGACAATCAGTCGTGCCCCGCGCGCACAGGACGAGAAGGAAGAGAACAAACGTTTGGAAGTCGTTGTTTGCTAATATGGCGATTTATTTTCGAATTTATAGGCCGACAAGCTCCAGACCCTGATCACGGCCGCCAAGGTCGAGGTTGAGCCCATCTGGACCTCAATCTTCGCCAAGGTACGACTTTCCACCGAACGCCAGCCCCTGGCAGAATCGGCCTGAACGAAGTCGAAAATCTGTCAAAAAACATCGAGAAGAATTCGGGTTCGCTAACGAGTAATGGTTTCCGCCGACAAATAGGCTCTCGAGGGCAAGGACATCAAGGACCTCCTGGTCAACGTCGGCTCCGGCGGCGCTGCTGCTGCCCCCGGCGCTGCCGCCGCTGGTGGTGCCGCCGCCGCCGCCGATGCGCCCGCTGAGGAGGAGAAGAAGGAGGAGGGTGCGTGCCGACTGCTGCTCCTCCACGGAGAACCCCGAGACGAGAGTGATTGTGTGCTAACGCGTTTCTGCAGAGAAGGAGGAGTCCGACGAGGACATGGGTTTCGGCCTCTTCGACTAAACAGCCAGCACAATCTGTTGCGGCGACTGTTTTTTCTCTTGCTTCTTTGTACTTCAACTGCATGGCACTTCGGGGTCTTTATACACATCGATGGATGCATACAGGATGGAGTGGGCGCCTATATCCTGCGTCCTGGGCAGAGTAGCTTCGTTCATAAGGATAATATGATGAATGCTCTCACACGACGGAGTTCACGCGGGGAAGGGACAAATGGTCAAATAAATGACTCGGGAAGAATAAAAAGAAATTTTTTGACATTTGGATTTCTACACACATGCCTCGCTTTGCCGTGAAGCTACGAAACGCTCGAGAGGAACTAGAGACTGTGTGCTCGCAAAGGTGGGCGCTATGTTCATCTAGTGACGAAAGCGCTCGGAAGTCGATTCATGACTCAAGATTCTCAATGTGACGACGCGCCCAACGTCGCTCAGATGCTCTTTCATGCCTTATGAAATCGTCATACCGAAAGACCTAAACGAGCCTATTTCACAATGAGCACAGCCGAAGGCACAAGTCCAGCCTCCTTGAGCGTCTTGGACATATCCACATCCCCCTGGAACGTCTTCCTGGGAAACGTCATTGTAAACGTCGTCACCGGCTTGCCAATCTCGCCCTCCAACTGCTGCGCAAGCTCAAACAGCGTCGTCTCCGCCGGCAGCGTCTTCATGACGTTGCCGGCATCCGTCTGCAGCTTCAGCTTCGCCTCTGTGTGATCTGCCTTGGGTCGTGGGGGCGCCGCAGCGGGAGCAGCAGCAGCGGAAGAAGATGAAGAAGCAGCGGCCTCGGGAGCTCTGCCTTCGCGAGCGGCCTTTGCCTCTTCGGCCTTGCGGCGGCGTTCGGCCCTGTCTTCTTCAATCTTGGCCTTGATGCGCTTCTTGGCCTCCATCTCTTCAAGCTTCTCTCTCTTCTTCTGCATGGCTTCCTTGATTTGCTCTTTGCGCGCGAGCTCCTCCTTTGCTTCCTGAGATTCCTTTGTAGACTTTTGTCTTATTTTCTACGCCAAATGTTAGAAGAGAGTCTGATTAATGGCGATGAAAATAGAGCGAATGGGAAAAATCACCTCGTTGCGCTTGGCATCCTCCTTGTCCTGCTCGGCCTGGGAAGCCTTCTTTGCCTTGAGTCGCTCTCTCAGTTCGGCAAGTTTCGCCTTCTTCTCCTCTTCGGTCAAGGGGGCAATTTCCTCCGTTGACTCGGAGAAGTCTGTGTGCTCGCTATTCTCGCGTTAGCCGTATCCCATACATGACTTGAAGCGTGCAAGAAGTCCTACGTCTTGGTGGCATGGTAGCTGGCGAGGTCGTGGTTCCTAAACCGCTTCCCGCACTCGTTGCAGACCAGGGACTTGGCCGACTCGCCCGACTCCAGCGCGGCAATCTTGGCCTTGGTCTCGTCCTCGTCCTCTTCGTCGTCTTTTGCCGCGGCCTGGGCAGCCTGGATCTCCTCCAATGACTTGTCCTGATTGTCTTCCAGCCACTGCAGGGCTCCCTGCACTGCGGGTTGTAAAGACACGTGTGAGATGAATGACAGGAGATGCTAGGAAACGTTGGAGAAAGGGACAACTCACAGCCTCCGGACTTCTTGACGGCGAGCTCAGCTCGGGCCCGCTCGAAGCCCATGTCAATGAGGGTATCTAGATCGGACGCCATCTTGTGCTTGATTCGCCTGTGGTTCGAGCTGTGAGACTTGGAGAGGATGGATGGGGTGAGAAGTGATGAAAGTAGAAGCTGGAGGCGTGAGGTTGATGATGGAGTGTGGGGTAGAGGTGCAGAGTTCCGAATGGGTAGCACGAGTTCTGGCAGTGGAGCTGCTGTAGAAGCACGAACTACCTATGGATGACGAAGGTGCAAGGGAGATGATGGAATGTGAAATAGAATCGTTGAAGAAATTCGAAAGTAGGTTATCAGATTAAGTAGTAAGTCACACAATATTGATGGGGCTTTTCCAAGGACTGGAGTTGCGAGTTATTGAAGCTCTCCGGCTTAGGTACCGACAGCTACGTAAGATGGCGTCAACGCTACAACACCTCATGCTTACAGTACATCCATCCATACCTTACCTATAGTACCTCCTACCTTATACCTACCTCTCTCGAGAGGCAACGTATCTTACCTACAGCAAATGAGTGCACTACCTTACTATCTGAAAACACTCTTTACTTGCCTGATTAGAGCTACACTTGCTCCTAGTAAGTGACTGCAAACAGTAAGCATAGGTACCATCTTACGGGACTCAGAGCTACTATAGTGCCTAGGTAGCTCAATCTTCCATCATCACAAGACGCAAGGGACAAGCACAGAGCATATGACTCGCCATCATATGAACACCCAACTTCTGGAGCACTTCGCCCAGGTAGCTTTGCTCCTCATACACGTGCATCATCACCAGACGCCTCCAACGCCTCCAACACCTCTTTTCAGAGGCTTAACCAAAGCCCTCAACTCTCATTTCGTCGTCTTTAGCGTGTCCAACAAGCGTCTTGTCTCATTGCTTCTCCCCTGCACGGGACCCCAGAGACCCTGAACCGGCTTAGTCATGCCCCAGCGCATTCATTCAGGCCAGCTCAGCCTCGCCAGCCAATCTCGATACAGGGGCCAGAGCCATCCATCACGCCTCCAGATCTCTTCTTTGTAATCAAACAACAAGCTGCCCATCCTCACAATTCACGCTCCCTCGTCCGCCGTTCTCGAGCCCGACAACTCTCAGGCAACGAAACCTCGTCCTCTGCCCCTTCGATCCTCGTTATCCGTGTCCCTTTTCCTGTAGCCAAGCTCCCTCCCTGGTTCCGCCGCGTCTCCCCGCTGCTGCAGCGCCATCGATCTAAACACGACATCATCTTTGCATTTCCGGCTCGTGCCTCCAGAACCGAATCGCCCGTCTGGCCTCGAACCCAGCTCAGCACCCGGCCTCTTTTCCGCAGCTTCAGTCGCCATGTCGGTCGAAATTGAGCCTCTCGAGCTGTCCTTTCGGCGTATGTTGTCCTTTTCCGCCATGGCATCCCATCCATGACGCCATTTCCGAGCGAAAGCATCCATTGACAGACAGGCAACGCACAGGGCCCTTTACCGTCGAGGTCGCGCAAATCCTCAAGATCAAGAACCCTAGCTCATCGCCCTTGGCCTTCAAGGTCTGTCGAGATCCCGACATGCCACGCATGGCTTCTGCCGTCTCCTACGACGGCACTTGCTTGTGGATACCTCCCTATCTCATCTTAATCCCTGCTAACGTCCCTTAGGTGAAAACGACGGCTCCCAAGCAGTACGAATGACCTCGTCGTTGCGATTCCACGGCCACCATGTCCACAAGACGATCTAACATTTTCTTTTTCTCGCCAATAGGTACTGCGTTCGACCAAATGCGGGCCGTATCGAGCCTGGCCAGGACTTTGATGTCACGGGTGCGTTGGGTCGCGACAAGGCAGCAACAGGGTATCGCATGACGGCTGACACCAGCATTAGTTCTTCTGCAGGCGATGAAGTCTGATCCCCCGCTGGACGCAAAGTGCAGGGACAAGTTCCTCGTCCAATCGGCCCCCATTACTGCAGACAAGGAATTCGCCAGCATTGCGTCCGTGGTGAGTCTCCACGTGTCCTGGCTTCCAGTCCTCCTCCAGGGACACACGCACTGACCGCGACGCACGTGCAGCTCGAGACAACCGACAAGGCGTCCATCTCCGAACGAAAGATCCGAGTCAACTGGCTACCTGCCGGTGACAGCCCTGACCATGGCCCAACCGCCATCTCGACGCCGAGCAAGCCAACTACGACGAATGGGGTGCGTAGTAGTTTTGTACGCTGGGAATTAACTTGCGTGTAGCTAACACTGGTTCACCCCCAAGTCATACGAGACTCCCGAGCCGACTCGAGCCTACTCTTCCCCCGCCGCTGCCGACTCGTCGAACGCCGCGCCGCCTCCTTACGTCAACGAGACCAATGATGACGATGACTCGAGACCGCAAACCGCCAAGTCGGCCGCTTCCAAGACGGCCTCTGCCGTCGCCAGCACGGTCCAAACGGGTGTCGAAGAGTTCAAGGCCAAGATTGCCCAGCTGGAGGCCGAATTGGCCAACTACAAGAACAGCGGCCTTCGCCAGCGCAACGTCAAGGGCGGCGAGAGCGAGAAGAACCCTGGTGCAGCTCTCGCCCAGCAACCTAAGCAGGTTGTCGAAGGCGTGCCTGTCAAGATTGTGGCCATTTTGTGCCTCATCAGCTTCCTGCTTGCCTACGTCTTCTTCTAAGCTCTGGTTAAACCGGAGCGGCAGACTGCCCTGCAGTCAGTCAGACGTACCTAGGTATGAAGAGTAAGTACCCAGTACCACAAATTACGAGTTAGAGAAGCTTGTTCTTTTATGCCACGGCAAACCTGGATCCGAAGCATATTTCAGCAGCAACCGGCAACGATACGCCCGTCATGAGACCCGAAGCGTCCTGTGGGCAAAGCATTGTCATGCATACGATGGATAGTGGCGGGGCGCTTTTTTGTTATCAAGGAGGTGTTTGTACGAAGAGAAAATTGTGTATGCGTGTGCCTCTGTGTGTGTGTGTGTGTCCATACCTAGACGACGATGAAGGGGCTGGCATAGTCCTCGGTCTTTGCACACACAAGGAGAGAATGGGTGGTGGAAACAGGGCTGTTGCTTGATGGACTGAGTAAGCTCCCCTGTCGAGCGAAGTCCTCATGGTGCGCGGTTCTCTGTACTTTAACCTGTTTACTTTGTCCTGTGTTTCTTTTGATCCCTTTTGTTTTTTTCCTTCCCTTTGCAGTAGTTTCTAGTACTTGATAGGCGTGTCTTTGCTCCTTTTGTATTCCTCTGTCCTATACTATATGTTTCCTTTCCTCTTTTTTTGTTCGTGCATCAAGGCAGTCAATTGCCTGTGTTGTTTTCTTTTGTCTGTCGGTTACCCTGGATGGTGGTAATGGATGCCAAGTAGAGCATGTGCGAACCTGTAATCGAGATGCCTGTTAAAGCATTTCTGAGTGAGGTACAGCATCGAGAAGGTAGGTAAGGATGGGAAAATAGTATTGATTTGACAATTGTCCTGGAAACTTCTTAGCATTCAAAGTGCTGTAATCAAATGTTTTTTCTCATCGTGTAATATTCCGTCATGCAACGTGCAGTCAGATGTAATCCTCGCAGGCGTCTCCTTGGCTCCCAGACGTGAGATGCAGACAAAATTCCATACGTTTCCTCTCATCATCGACAGTCCATTTTCAGTTCGACCCTACCTAGAAATACATGGAAGGGGGGTTAGAGGAGGGTTCTCTGCAATATAAGTAGCAAAAGGACGGGAGTACAGGGGGAAATGGAGACGCTTTTATGTACAGAATCTAGCCTTCTAGGACTGAGACTTGTCTACTTTCTACTCTACCTACTGTAAAGGGAAACGGTTTATAGCATGAAAGCACCCTCTAGCACTCTTTTTATTCTTCTTTCTTTTCTTTTCTTGCTCAAGCCTCAATTTCAGATTGCTTCCACTGGACCGCGCCGCCCACGATGCGACCGCCATTCTTCCTCTTCACGCGGCAGGTAATGCCCACATTCTCGTCCCAGATGAACCGCCAGATAGCATACACCCAGCTCTCGTGGCGGGGCAGATCCTCGTAAAACTCCCTGGCAATGTCATACACGGCATGCAGCCTCGTCCACGGAATGGCCGGGAAGTCGTGGTGCTCGTTGTGCAAGCCGACATTGTACGTGAGGATGTTGAGGGGCCCGTAGTAGGAAAAGGTCTCGGGGACGGGGACCTTGTTGTCCGGGTCGCGCTGGGTGGGGGTGACGGTCTCGTAGACGTAGTGCTCGGCGATGAAGTGGCCGGCCAGGGGGTGCAGGCTGCCGGCCAGGAAGGAGGAGAGCAGCAGGTAGAGCAGGGCGTTGGGGGAGGCGTAGTGGATGAGGAGGGCGTCAAAGGAGAGCTGGACGACGACGTTGAGGAGGTGCACCCAGGTCAGGGGGATGCGGTAGACGGCCATGGGGCGGATGGCGTAGAAGAAGATTTGGAACGTGCAGAAGAAGGCCTTGCCGAAGATGGAGTCGAGCAGGAAGGCTTCCACGGCGGTGGGGAGGTCGGTGTCGAGGCCATCGACGCCGAGGGACTTGTGGTGGGTGAGGTGATATGGCTGTTTCACGAGTTCAGCATGTGTTTTTTTTTTTTGTTCTTGTTTTTGTTTTCCCTGACTTGGAGGAGAGAGAGGGGAACATATTTCATGGAGGTGCAAAAACGTACCCTGAACGAAGCACTGTAGGGGATACCAATGGGCAGGTTGGCAAAGATGGCAAGCAGCCGGTTGGCGAGCGGGCTCCGGAAGGCCAGGTTGTGCGAGATCTCGTGGATGGCCAGGAACAGGTTCTGGTTCGCCGTGGCGCCAAAGACGTAGGCGACGGCCCAGAACTGCCAGGACCAGAAGGGAGTGGACCGCAGCATGTAGGCGAGGAGGACTTGCAGGCCGACGACGCCGGCGACGACGTATTTGGTCAGGGGTTCGGGGCCGCAGAGCTTGAGGACCTGTTTTTGTTGGAGGAGAGAGGGGGGCATGTTAGCATTGGTCTGTTTCTGGTTGTTGAAGAAGGTCGAGGGATATCGGTTTGAAGGAGAGGATGAAGCTGTGCTTTGGATTGTGGCATCGATGGGAGCGGAGCGGGAGAAGGAAGAGGTGTCTTTTCTTGCCTCGGGATGCGCCTTGATAATGGCCAGACGCCGCGTGCGATGCGGCTCTTCGGTGTATGTCCAGAAGAAGTCATGCTGCTTGTCGTCTTTGGCATCTTTTGCAGCAGAGGCAGCCGGAGGTTTGGCCTCTTTGACGGCCGTCGTCGCGGCTGACCGAGCCATGAGGTGGAAAATGATGTATGGGTGTGTGTATGGGTGTGTGTTGGCGGCAGATGATGTGTCGTGAGTCTCGTTTCAATCGAAAGTTCTTTGGTTCTATATCATCGAGATAGTGATTTTACAAAGGAAGAAGTGGTGTAAAACAGGAAGAAGAAAAAAAAGAACAGCAATTGAGTGGTGCACCAATCTAGCTGTTGAGTAGGTCAGAAGAGAATGTTTCTTCAGGGACGAGAGAGTCTGGCGTTTGTTTGTGTTGGCTCTGTTCTGGGCGATCTGGCTGCCCAGCTGGTTGAGCTAAGAGTCGAAGTGGGCTGTTTCGGAGGCAAAATACACGCGTACCTTGAGGAAACAAAGGCGGTGTCCCTGTTTACCTTATCTTATCTTAGTAGCATTGCTACCCGTAAGGTTACTACTAGGTGGGTAACAGACGCAGGGACCGTGAATGTCTGGTGTCGGGTGTTTCAATGGGATTTTGCAGACAATGCGGTGTTACAGTGCATTGGGAGGCCCTGAAAGTGGCTCGTTTGCGGGGTGGCTTGTGGGTGGTTTGGAGGGGGGTTGGAGGGGGGCGCCGATTTTGGGGGGGTTGTTGTTGATGAGGGAAGAAGATGAACTGGAAGAGGCATTGAAGGGATCTGGTGGTTTGAACTGAACATGTGGACTGGTACTTTGATCGAACATCGACTCGGAATCGAACTTCTAGGAGTGGTGATAATACAGCTGCAACAATCCCTGAGGCTTGTACCTTCAGCTGGTCTCATTGTACCAGGGGACGGGATATCCGCGCCCATGTCACTGCAAGACTGGATACCCGGGAGCAGACGTCGAGATCACTATCTAATTGCAACAAGTGTAATCAACTACATAGATAGGTAGGAAAAGACATAGAATTGTTAGTGATGTTGAGAGTTCCATCTACCTTCAAGTACAATTAAACCCAAGTAGAGTCTAAGAAAACTTCATCAATTTCACACAGCACATCAGAGACATTCTACCTAGGTACTTACAAGAACAGCACATTCACAGGCAAGGCAATCATCTACAATCCGGTCCAAAATACGCTACATCTACAAAATCAGTCAGTCCAAGAAGGGAAAAAAGAGGAAAGAAGGACGCCGTGCATCTCTGTAGGACTTTGCATCGTTTTCTCTCCGCATAAATGGCTCCATCGCGAGAGATGTGGTATTTCGGCTCTTCCCGCCTTATTTGTACTCCAAACCCGTGGCCCATCTATATGCACACCTTGGCCGCCGACTATAAAAACAAAATATCCAAATGCTAAGTAGGTAGGTATGTACTTTATACACGTCTCAACGCTGTCTCGTCATCCCAGTTCATCTCCCCGCGTCCCCTGGTCTTGACTTCTCTATCATCTCTTCCTCTTGGGTATATGTATATCTTTCATGACTTCATATTCCGTTGCTCTTGCAGGAAAACACGCCGTGCACCGTGCCGGCATCGAATGCATCCACGATGCCCTGTACGCTGGCATACGTGCCCACGGACAAAAAGAAGATGCCAATGATGATGATGGCAATGTTGACGGCTGTGGCAAACGCCGACACAAGGCCGTTGCGTTTCCTACCAACCTGCTTGTCTGCGTTTCGCATGCGCAGGTAGGCAACGCCCCAGAAGATGAAGCCGAACCAGCTGTCGAAGAGGGATGACATGACGGACAGGACTGGAAAGAAATGGTTAGGGCTTTGTATAGAACAGCTGGATAGAGGTATAGACTTACGCGAAGAGAAAAAGGGGATGACCTGAGAAATGATGAAAGCAAACACCCAGGTGACGAGCAGGATGCCGGCCCAGCTTCCCCAGCCCACAATGGTATGGCTGTGCAGGTGCACCGAGTTGCGAAACGCGCGGAAGAAGACGAAGCGGGCCGTCACGGAGGCGTACAGGCACCCCAGGAAGATGAGCGTGGGGATCATGAAGGAAAAGGAAACCTTCTTGTACATGTCGTCCAATGATCCAAAAGCCGGCGCCGTGACGTATTGGTTGCCGGTGTAGGCGTAGATGACGCCGCCGACAATGGAGAAGACGATGATTTCGGCGATTGTGCAAGCCCACAGCGACTTGGGGAACTCCCTGAAGAAAACGAGCGAGGTCAGTATATTGCAACGGATGGACAAGCAAGGTCAAGAGCAGCTAGCAGGAAGACTCACCGAGGATCTCGCATCTCCGCAATGAAGCTTGGGAGCGTAATCTGGCCGATAAAGGTGTAGCTAATGTTGAGGAACGCCGACATGCCATTGACAAAAGTAGTGCTCTTGACGGGAATGGCCGTGACCAACGGCGAGCCCAGCTTCTCCGTGAAGCCCGCGGGCTTGTCCTGGATGCCCGCAAAGATGGTCGCCAGCACCACCGAGATGAAGGTGAAGATGGCCGACGCCGTGCCCAGCTTGGACATCATGCTGAACGTGCGAGGCAGCGACCCAATCAGGCAGATGATGGTCACCACGACGCCAAACTCGACGGTGCGGCACCCGGCAATGTTGTCGCTCTCCGTCATGGTGTTGAGGTACTCGGCGCCCACCAGGACGTGGAGCGCCTGGATGAAGGTGTTGTTGAGGACAAACATGATGGCGGTCCCCCACCACGCCCATTCCTTGCCCCAGAAGAGCATCTGGCCAATGTCGCACACGTCGCGCACCTCTGGATGCCGCAGGCAAAACTCCCACAGGACCAGACTCGTGTAGAGCACGATGCCGGCGACCACAACGGTCAGGATCAGGCCCGGGACGAGGCCCAGCACGCTGTAAGACCAGGGAAAGCTCATGATGGCCAGGCAGATGTACTCGCTGAAGAGCAGCGCGGCCGTCTTCTGCCACGAGCAGGTCCGGTACTGGATCGAGGTGCCATTCTCCGAGGCGAGCTGCCGGTTGAGGATCGCCTCGCTCGACTCTTCGCCTTCGGAGACATCGTTCTTGAGGTAGGCGGGCAGTGGTGCTATCCGGGGGCCTACCCAGACATTGGGGCCGCCAAACATGGAGGCCAGCCGCGAGAAGCCACTCGAGTGAGAGACCGTTGCCTCGAGGTCCTCGGGAGGTGTCTTGAACTTCTCAGACATGGTTGCTGACAGGAGCGGATAGCACACGTGTAGATCTTCGAGGGAGAAACGAAGGTGTCCGAATACTAGAACCAGACCGGGGGGAAAGAAACAAAAGAGATACCAAAACCAATTCAAATCATACTCCAGGCGGATCAACTCAGAAACTCCACGATATGGTAGAAGTCAAGATAATTTGATAAGAAGCAGAGATGAAGAGAGAAAAGTAGATGGAGCGTCGGGAGCAGCGAGGGCCCGAGATAAAAACGGCGATCCTTCAGCGATCCTACCTTGCCTTGCGTACCTGTGCGAGCATGTACATCCAAGTTCCCACCGTTTCTGGCCCCCCCCAAATCGATGACCTCGTGGGAAGGCGAAAAGCAGGGCAGTTCTTTGCAACCAGAGACCCCTAGCGTAGACCAGAGGCAGGGATCCCGCGAGCACGTCAACCGCGGCGGCGGCCATCTCCAAACCTCAGTACTAGTACTGTAATAGCCCCAATGACTCTGTCCTGCTCGCCTACCACTTTCTGACGAATAGTCCCCCCCCAAGTCCCCGTATCTCCAGCCAAAACGGACAGGCAGCCAAGCAGCCAAGCAGCGCTTCCAGGTTGTGTCTTTACGACCATGATGACGTTATTCCGCCTCCACGATCTAGCGGGCTTGGAGTGAGGGTCTCCAGCCCGCCTCTGGAGCCCATCACGGCGAGGCCTGTGGAGTCGCATCACCCTCTTAGCTCTTTGCCGAGCCTTGCTGGTGCCTTGCTCGAATATGCTCCGCAACGGGCTCTGCATAATTTGCCGACCGATCCGCTCTTTTGCTCCGTCCAGTGGGTTTTGGGAGGGTTCGTGGAGGATCTCTGGGCTGGTTCGTCTTGGTCTGGTGCCAGTCAGGCAGTCGATGAATGTTTCGCAAACGGCCCTATGCCGACTCGCCGCCCTGCATTCCAGCCAGATTGCCAGGTCGAACTCCGTCCCAAAGCACGGGGATGGCGTTAGCAGGATCAAGCTACTGCAGATGGACTGCTTGCGTGCTCGACGACGCGGGATAACGCAAGGGGACCAGAACCAGAGGCTGGACGACGGGAAGCCCTTGATTGGGCGCCGCACGCGGGCTAGTTTTTCGGTGGCTGTTTCGACGAAGCCTCTTGCGTGAGCGACCAACACGTTCTTCTGACCAAAAGGCTTGTGGCGCGCAGTCTGTTCCTGGCTGGAATCGAGGCGTTTCTCCCCTATCCAATCCCGTTCTCGCCACGGCATTTCGCCTCTCTTGTTGTTTGTTGGAACGGTCATTGTAACGGTAGCCCATTGGTAGGCAATCTTCAAAACCTTCAGATCTGAGGAAGAGAATGAAAAGCCAGGATATAGGTAGAAGTCCATGGGTCAGCCACTCGTCTATCAATCCTTCACCAAGATGCCTGAGCCGCGGGACACGAGTCACAAATCTGTCTGTAGTACAGTATTACCTTGTGTTGTTTCTAGACCGCAATTGAGCAATGGACCGCGCAACCAGCGGCTGGACCCTGTCGACAAGCCCTTGTCCGGCGCGCATCTTCTTGTCCGTAGAGAGAAATGATGAGAGCCTGGAAGCGATCCTTAGCACATTGGCATCCATCCTCGTCGTTGCAGATAGACTGCAGAAAAAGGGAACACGCAATCGCTGCAGTGCATCGCGCAATTCTGCAGGGCCGGGGGGTTTGATTGAAGCCTGCCTAGGCCGACTTGAAGATTTGGTGCAGCGATTTTTAAGCTTATTTCAGGGCCACCTCACCGTTTGCACGTGCCTGCGCTCAGCGTCTAATACGTTCGAAACGGCCAACAGTTGCGATATCAATGTCTCGTCAAAACGCAGCGATTTCGTATCCTTCCGCGCAGGAAAAACAATTTTGGTTATTTTTGCCGAGTTGACGACTCATTTCCAGTGCCCCCTACAAATTTATCTTGGTGCAAAAAGCGCGGCAGAACCAGACAAAAGAGGCGAAAAAAAAGTAGGCGCAACAAGTTGGAGTGGGCTGGCGCTACAAACTACGTCACAGGTCCGCGTCCATTGGAGCTTTGGCGCTACGCGCTCAACACCAAGAGCTCTTCTCCCCATCGATATCGCGAACTGAGTTGATTCAGCACGGCATTCCATGCTTCTGCGCCCCCTTTTCAACGCCAAAGGTACAGAAGCTGCAATCTTTCTTGCACATACTAAAATCTGCATCGTCAAGCGATTGAATCCCCATTTCCAAGACAGAGACGTATGGCAAAAAGGAAAGCATCTGCGCAACCTGGCAAAAAGAATTAATACACACAAATGGCAAAAGAGTTCGGTGCTGGTTGCCGCCAAACCAACACCTACATCTCTGTCGAATCGCTAACTTCGGTTTCCCACGGTCTAAGGAAGCAGTTTGACCTGACCGTTTACCCACGGCGCCCCTGCTTTACCCTTTTTGGTATATTTGTCCTCGAGGACTCGGTTCGGACTCGGATTCGAACACCTGCCTTTCGTCAATTGTTACCGGAGGGGGAGGGGAGGGGGTAGCTTAACCGTTGCGCCACTTTGCAGCTGCGCTCCGGGGCCGCTACCCCCGACCACAGGAGACGATATCCTCGCTTATAAGGCGTTGAGCGCTCCTCTGCTGCCAGTCGCCAGCTGCCCGTCCTCATGGGCGAGGAGGGGGAGCCCCGGCAATGCAATCGTGGCATCCCACCAGTACATTGAGCGCCAGGAAGCCTTCAGAGAGTCTGCTTCCGCATGGAGTCTCTTGGATCGAGGCCAGCTGGTCCTGGAGCGCAACAGCGGTACCATGGCGAGCAATCCAAATCGCTGTGCACATTCCGCTATCGTGTGACGTGTCCGTGATATGACCCCGCCCACCAGCTATGAGTGATAGCCAGAGCAAGCGCACATGCATGTGGCGGCGAATGGTTCCCAATATCGACCGGTGTATAGTGCGAATGAAGCTCGACCGGATATACGTCCAAACATGATTCGGCTTGAATATGTAAGGAAGAGAAGGAGCTTGTCCCTCTGAAGGGTTTTCCGCCTTTGTATATCTGCGGGTCTGGTCCCAGCGTGGTCCGTCTGTGGTAGTGGTTGGGATGTATGCGTCATTTACAGCACAACAGGGGCAGTCGTGTGAAAAGCGCATCAGTAAATGCTGCAGTATGACCGACAGAGAGTCGAGCCATGGCCATGCTGGCTGGCTCAAGAGCAGCAGAGCGCGTGTGTCATCGCAGTCGACTCGTTTGTCTCGTTCGGCATCGTCGGAGCATCAGACGGGACACGGCCGGTTCGAGATGGTGCGCGGGACGCGCAGATAGACAGCGACGAGCGAGGACGGACGTGTTTCCAGCCTTTGAATGTCAATCAACGGCCACTTGGCATTGCATCGATGAACATTCAGAGTCGACTGATGGAAAGGAAAAATATTTACAGGAAAAGGATTGGGATGTCGTGAAAGAAAATGGTGGAGCGGAGAACGACAAGGGAGGCGCCTCTCGGGGCTGGACTATCACCAAAGCGGCAATGCCGGGTACGACCTGCCCTTTGTGGACTGGCCACCCCGATAGTTGCATCTGCGTGCTGAGGCTTGAAATGTTGGGTCTTCATTACCGTACCTTATTCAAGCTGATGCTTGACTTTGACTTGTTAGATATCCAAAGTCCCTAAGATACTGTCATGTTGCTCGATTCTACCTGCAGAGCTACAGAGCTGGTTTAAGCCGACCAAGGTATGGAGTTGTCAACTCCCAACTGTTCTCTAGATGCTCCCGTCAAGCCGCCTTCATCCAGGATTGAGCCAGTGACCAAAGCCTGCGAGCAGCCGCATCATCACGAGCATGCTGAGGCGTCTGCCTGATTTGGCAATCATCAATGTAGGCTCCGGGATGGCCTGTAACCCCATTGTCAGCTTGTTGTCCTGGAGCCTGGCCGCTGCAACTCATACCTTCGAGACTTGGGTCCAAGGCGGCAACGAGAAAGCTCGCGGCTCCCTGGCTGGCAGACTTGTACACCATCTTTGGATTCCTAAACCCACTCGGAAGATGTCTCTGCAGCTCCGTCAAGACCACTAGCCAAAGTCAGCCGCCGAACTCTGCCTATAGTAGGTATGCTGAACCAGACGCAAGTGTTCTCACCTCCTGGTGCGGCACTGAACGCCTTGATCTTGTCTCCAGATAAGCCCTCATTCAGGCCCTTGGTGTAGAGCATCAACGCCGTGCTCGTCTGTGAGTATGCTAGAAAGGGGACGTATCCCGTGCCGACGTCCTTGACCCAGCCCATGCCAAGCTCTTCGGCCATTTCGAGATCAACCCGTTCATCCTCTGGAAGCTCCTTTCCGCCGTCAAAGTTGTAATCGCTGAATCTGAAGGGCTGGACATAGAATCCGCCGCTGACAATGTTGACGACTCGCGCTTTGGGGCTAGCGGCTTTCAGCTGTGGAAGGAGAAGTGAGGTAAGGATGAAATGGCCCAGGAAGTTCGTGGCTAGATGAGCCTCCAGGCCGTTGTTAGTGATGACTCTGTTGGGAAGGGCCATTACTGCTGCGTTGTTGATCATGATGTCGATATGTGGTGTCAGACTCTGGATGGTGGCGGCAGCTTGGCGAGTGCTCTCCAAGTCTGACAGATCGATGCGAACGACATGGATCTGCGTCTTCAGGTTTGGATATTCTGCCCGAATGGTGTTGGCCACGGCAGAAGCTTTGGAGACTGTCCGGGCTGTGAAGATGAGGCTCGCCGGGTCATACCTGGCGAGGGCGTGAGCAGTGGCAGCACCAAGGCCATTGGGACTTATTCCAGTGATGAGGACTAGATGCATTAGTTGTACTGTTGTATCACCATCCGAGGCTTACAACCATGGAACTGCCGACTTACTCGTCTTTCCAACGATTTGATCACAAAATGTCGACGCCACCTCTTCAGCAGTTGTCTCTGCTCCAAAGTTGCTATTCGAGGCCATTGTGAAGCCGAGTGAAGATGGTTGCACAACTGGTTTCCGTAAAACCTGCAGACTGCCATAACAGGCCTTGTTATATCTCCCTCATGGCATGTTATCGCCGCAACGACCACTGCTTATCCGACGCCGACCATGTTGGCCTCGCGGATTTACGATCCATCTCCATCATCAAAGCCAATCTTGCATGACCTGTTTGGGAAAAGCCAGATCGAAACAGCGGCTGACGGGCTGCGGAGTTAATGCACAATCAGTTCAGGGATGTTTCTTGCGCCAATCCATCTCCACAAATGGCTGCTGCTGTAAGCTTTAAGAGGCATCATCACCTCCAGGTGAAGATGACTTGTAAGCGATGAGATGCTAGAGTGCTTGTCGAACACGCCTCGATCTATCTCGGCTGTTCTTGTTGTACTTCCTGAGCGCTTGCATAATATCGAACTCAACTTTAGTCTATGACGAACGATGCTGGTGCTCAATCGATGTTAGAACAAATCTTTCTCATATGGGTAGGAAAATGTGAAAATGTCCAAGTCCTGGAGAACGGAGCGAGATAACGACAGTCCATGGCTGCTGCGTCCTCAGTCTACCATGTCTGAGCAGTTCTCACATATAAGGCTTGATGCCTCGTTCCAGTTGACAAATACCTAACACACATATTACAGTTCTATTTACTTCAACAGCCAGATGCGCAGAAACCCTTCAACTAAATTCTATCTGCCTATTTCTGCTCGAAATCATTGTCATACTGGTCGTCTGTAATAAGTTGCGGCTGTAACCGCCTCGAGTCCTTGATAAAGTCTCGAGCGAGGCATGGCTTGTACAATTCTCGGAAATGGAATAGGCTTCGGATTACTTGACCCGTGAATATTTGTCAGACACACAGGGATTACCGCCATTTGACGCGGCAGAATGGCTGTCGGCATTTGGGCCGCAACCATTACCTTGTAAGCAATTGGTGGCCTTTGATGGCCTCTTGTCCCGACTGACGAAGTATGATGTAGAGCGGTTGATGTTTTTGCAATTAGTCTTTGGAATGACTATTTGAAGGATATCTCAGGGACTTGAGCTAGGACGACAATCTCACGAAGCTCAGCGTCGGCGCAGTTGATTACAATTGCTGATTGGCACTCATTCTCACTTGCTCTTTCATGATGACTTCGACCATGGCTTCAGACAAGCCACGGCGAAGCGGGCGCCAGACAGGCTCAAAGCCACAGAACAAACTGGCAGAAAATGAAGCAAGTCTAGAAGTAAGTACATGACAGAGACTCCTTCACAAGTTGACTGCAACTGACGCGACACACCACTGCAGAAACGGCGGCAGCGGAACCGCAAAGCGCAGCGCCTGTTCCGGCTCAGGCGTCAAGCTGCCCATGAAAGCTACGAGAAGAAGCTGGTGCACATGGAGGGGGCCCTCGAGCATATGGCGGCGACCTTTCTTGATTTCACAAACGGCATTCTACAGTCGCCGCTGATCACGCGCGATCCGGGCCTCATCTCGAAGCTCAGGACGGCAACCGACAGCATTCTGTTTCTGTGTCAGGGCAGCAGTGGTGATTCAGGAGATAGTCCCGACAACGGCGAAGATGACACGGAGATTGCCGCCCATGACATTAATGGTACTGGCTACAAGCATGGGCTTCATGGAAATGGAGCGTATACCATCGATTCGGCCTTGAACAATACGCTCCTCGACTTTGATGCCTCGAAGCATGCTCCAACTGCACCAGCTTCTGGCAGCAACAATTCGACCGCACAGCCCAAGCCAATTGCGTCGCAGCCGCCGCAAATCAGGAACATCTTTGGCAACGGCTTCATGAACCTGCCGCCCATCGACTTTGGGGACTGTCTTCACTCGGCTGCCATGCCCAAGGTGTATCCGGCCGACGATTCGCTCAGTATCATCGTGACCAGGGCTTCGCTACAGAACGCCTACGACGCCTTGCTCAACGACGTGGAGGCGAACAGCTCGATGGTCGACAGGATATTCGGGTTCCCTCTCAAGTTCCGCACGCGGGAAGAGATCCTCATGGTGCTGCGGTGGTACCTGCGGCCTCAGACGCCGGAGCTCGTTCGGCTGGCCACGGCCGAATTTGACGATTATCTGGTGGCGCAGTACTATCACGGCATCGTAAACTCGCAGTATCGAGCGGTCGAGGGCGTGTTTCACGGAGACAAGCTGAAGGCATTGGACAGAGAGACTCTCCCGCCAGCCCAGAGCCGGATTCTGAATGCCTACCAGATTGAGCAGTGGCTGTTGTCTTGCGGAATGAAGTATGTTGGCGTCGACACGATTGAACTCACAGACCTCAGACCGACGGGGCTGCTGCTTCATACGAAGCCTCCGGACGATCCAGACATTCTCCTGACAACATTTGCGACGTTACAGCAAGAGAAGCCGCTGCATCACGGATATGTATTTGACGGCCAGACGGCCAGTGGATATACTCCCACGGGCTCGGAGGTATTTTCTAACAGCATCCGTCTGTCTAGGACGCGGTTGATCCATGTCCTGACAGGGATATCCTTTTGCATTGACAAAGGGCCGGCGTACTGTGAGCAGGCGCTCTTTGAGGCGGTGGTTACGGCGATGGTGTCTGATGGATAGCTTTGGCTCGGTATGACCGGAGAAAGATTCAACATCAATTTCTCATCCTAGGAATCCAACTCATTGGCCATTCAAATGGCGGATTTGGCCATGTATACAACCGAACATAACTAACGTTGGGCGCCACCTCCACCTTCTGTCATCCGTCTTGTGAATCAAGCATGAAGCGAAGAGACGTTCCCTTTTCTCAGGCCAGATTGCGTGCTTTTTATTCATTTTGTTCGTTAGGCCGTCAACAAATAGTCACAGTTATGACTTACAGGTGGCCGGTTGGCAGCGATGGAGGTGGCTATTCAGGGGCAGCACCAACATGGCCTCGAATACTCGGAGTGCGTTATTGACGCTGGAAAAAAAGCAACGCAGCCATGCCTGTGTAGAATCTGTTTGTATACATGTAGGGTTCGTCGACTCGGAAAGCATTACTGAACCATGATTTAGTATGTCCGCTCTGTTCCTAAATATCTAATTGGGTGTTAATATCCCAAGTCGGAGCAATTAGCTAACACCTCCGAGGCGGCATCTCCCCACCACAGCTGTGAACAGGTCTTCTCTCGGAGGAATTTCTTGACAGCATCCCTGATTGTGCAGTGTCAAGTCTGGTGAATGCTTTCAAATCCGCTGCATGATTAGTATACACGATGGCGATTCTTCTTTCAGCGCAAGGGTTGTTGGTTTGTTGGGGAGATGCCCAGGAGCTGAAAATGGCCGGTCATTTGCCATGAGTGCGACTTATAAACGGTAGGCTCAAGGAGTTGCTCTTCCTGGCCGTTTTGATATTTCGTCTGTAAGTGAGAAACAGTTCGAAAAGAGACGAACGAAGGACCTTGGGGTTCGATGGCTGTCGACGAAGAGCCAAAGGTAGAGCGGGCCGCCGAGCGGACAGCCCCTGAATCTGGTGAAAGCACAACCACACTCGATGCCGAGCCGACGACTCAGGCAGACGCTGGAGAGAATGCGGCCAAAGGACAGCGGGGAGTTCGAAAGCACTTGATTGCGCTGAGCATCGTGCTGTGTCAACTCGTCGTGGTATGTTGGCGTGGAGCATTTCGTCTCCGATGATCCCATGCTGACTGAATATGCAGGCTCTTCCTTTTGGTTCTGGTCTGTTGGCTGCGTATACGATTCCTGCTGAGCTAGGATCTGATCTCAGCTTGGGTATCTGGATTGCCGCAGCGTATCCGTAAGAGCCCACCCACTATCTAATAGACACCAGCAAACAACAAATCGAAGATAGCTGACACGGAATTGTTCTCTCGTCCATTAGGTTAACGGAAGCAACATTTGTCCTCATGGGCGGCCGCGTCGGGGCCGTCCACGGCCACAAAAATATCCTCCTCATCGGTGGCATCATTTACGTTCTGTTCAACCTGATCTGCGGCTTCATGCGATCCGTCCAGAGCATTATCGTCATGCGGGCCCTCAGCGGCGTCGGAGCCGGCATTATCGTCCCGAACGCTATTGCTCTTCTCACGACGACGTATCCTCCTGGCTTGGGCCGCCTGATTTGGGTCGGACTATTTGGGGCCATGGCTCCCATCGGGGCTGGTGGAGGGTCTGTATTTCCGGGGTTCTTTGGACAGTTGCTGCCTTGGTGGTGGCTGTTCTTCTTCTTGTAAGTGAGAAGGCTTCCGGCTTGTGATGGAAGAGCAATTCTGACAAGATCTAGTGCCATTGCTGGGGCAGTGGTTTTCGGAGCTGCGGCAGTCCTTGTGCCGTCGGAAAAGGTTTCCATGGATCCGAACGGCAGAGTCGATTATGTCGGCTCATACTTGGGTGTTGGCGGCCTCATTTTGTTCAACTATTCCTGGACGTCAGTACATATCTGCCAAACACCAACTTAGGTACGCCTTGATAGCAACCGCTGACAGGGAAACAGTGAGGCAGCCGTCAAAGGCTGGAGCGTCAGCTACGTGTACACCATCCTCATCTTGTCCGTCCTACACATCACCCTCTTCCTGCTATGGGAAGCCAGATTCGCCACAGAGCCGATCCTGCCCCTGTCCGTCTGGTCCGCGCCGTCCTTCAAGCCCATGCTCCTCTCGGCCTTCTTCACCTTTATGAGCACGGGCATCCTCTTCTACTACGTGACCCGGTGGCACGTCGACGTCAGTCACTATTCCAACTTTGTGAATGCCGCTGCGTTTGCGACGTTTACCGTAATGGCGACGATTGCGTGTGGTGCGAGTGCCGTCTGTGTGCGGTATATGCCCGCGCAGGCCGTCATGGCGATAGGGACTGTGTCGGCGCTCGTGACGGGCATCTTGCTCGCGACGATGCCGGTGCGGCAGACGTACTGGCCGCAGGAGTTTCCGGCGCTGTTCATCCTGGGATTCAGTCCTGATTTCATCTTCACGGCCGCACAGATCATTACGAGCAACAGCGTCAAGAGGAGCCTCCAGGGGGTGGCTGGGTCTTTGGTAGGGACGATTCAGCTGTATGGGCTGGGCACGGGGCTGGGCTTTGCTGGGACGATTGAGCTGTATACGAATGGGCATGGAGCTGATGCTATCGGGGGCGTGAGGCATGCGTTGTGGTTTTCGGTTGCGTTGGCGGGAGCGGCGACGGTCATGTGTGCTTTTGTTCGGATCCCCAAGGATGAGCGTGAGGGTTGGGACGAGGGGGAGCCGGTGCATGAATGATGTTCTGGCTCGACCTTGATGGGTGCTTAGTTGGCCAGATTGAGCAAGATCTTGATGTCTTGCAAGCTTCTCACTCAATGTGAACAAGGTCTGGGATCAATGACACGACTGACAAGCGTGTTGTTGGCGGAAGATGAATCTAGGTACATGTAGTTATCAACTCACAACAACCACTCACAGCAACCACTCACAGCAACCAAGTCTCTCTTGGTGAACTGGAGAGTATTTCTTCCTCTGCCTACTTGCTTCTATCGAAACTTGGGTATCCAAGCATTGTGCTATTGTAGAGAACTCGGTCAATATGTCGTTCTCTTACGCTGGATCTTTGTTCGGGCTGCACTTATTCGCAAGACAAGTGCCTGGACTGTTGACGTTGACATTGTTGGGGTGACACCGCCCCAGTGAGTGGACCGCATAAACAGATCGTCATGCCTTAGTATCAACAAACGGACAGATTCTAGACTAAATATATCTCTGAATCGTCGATGCAGAAGCGCATCTGCTTCACCAAGCTTTGCCTGTTCCCTGTTCCTGTCCCCTGTTCCTGTCCCCTGTGGCCTGTCCCCTGTGGCCTGTGGCTAGTGCTGTGCATGCAGCTGAAGACGCGCCACAGTCGTCATCCAGGCAGTTGATCCCAAGCACGCACAAGGCAACATGTGACGTGACCTGGAGGCAGCTCAGCGCTGTGTGCAGTGCATACCTTTTCCCCTTCTTCTTCCTTCTTTTGTATAGTCTCTTCCAGCAACCTCGACACAGCACAATTATCATCCTACAGCCATACCCTTCGATCAATAAGCACCTACTATTATCGATATAGACCTGCTACATAAGGTACTACGGACGAGCATCCTTGACCTTTGACTGTGGCTGCGAACCCCCCCTTTGCAGCATCGCTCACGTGCAGATAAGCAGCTCGTCCTGCGCCGATAAGCACGACGCCCGCCGTGATCCAGAGTGGACACTTTTCACGGGCAGTTTGGCGCCGGTTTGTCATACGAGCTAAAAATCGACAAAATCCATTGGGGTTGTGGGAAAGGGACTGGAAACGCCTCGACGGAGCTGCCTCGGCTTGCCTTTTCCAGGACGAACAAGACGAGACTGACGCGGGGAGAAGACGCTGAAGAAGCCCTGGCCGAGGAAGACAACTCCAAAGCCGCAACAAGATATAGCAGGGAGGGAAAAAACGCCTTGTGCTGTGCTGTGCTGGCGCCCTCTCTCCCCTCTCTTTGCGCACCGATCTCGGGCTCTGGCGAACAGAACGGCGAGGCAACGGTCCAGAAGCAGTGCAGACCCGGGACAGACAGACAGATGAGTAGCCGCTGGTGAGGAAGCGATTTCCGGGCGACTGTATCTCGGGGAGCTGGGCGCCTTTGCCGTCGCTGTCCTGTCCTGTCCCTCTTTGGACTTGAACCTTGCGGGAAGCCGACGAAACCAGAGAACCAACACCAACGAACAGCAGCACGGCATACACGCCCTGCTGCTCTTCCCCCCTCCCGTCGCACTCATGTGGTGGCCATTCAGCATCTTCTTCAGCAGCGTCTTCCTCTTCGCCATTGTCCTGTCCATCCCCGTCGCCTTCGATGTGGGCGGGCGCGACAGCGGGCTGGCCTACAGCCTGGGCCTGTCCATCTTCTACATCTTCTACTCGGCCATCCGCCTGGCCACGCCCGAGACGTCGCGCATCCGCTGGACCATCGTGTCGCTGCTGAGGCTGGCCCAGTGGTTCGTCATTCCCTCGCTGCTCATCTGGGCGCTGGGCAAGTTCGCCGTCGACGCCGATGCGGGCAACTCGACCTGGGTCGAGCGGACCATTGGCGGCGTCTTCCACTCGAGGAGAACCAGCTGGACCGAGTGGATGTTTGGCAAGGACGGCTTCCTCGAGACCATCATGCTGGGCTCCTGGGACAATGTGCTGCGCTATTCGGGGCCCGTCTTCCAGCTGCTCGAGGGCTTCTGCACGCTGCTCGTCATCCAGGCGGCGGGCCAGATTACTCGATGGCTGGTGAACCGAGGGCGAAGCGACACTTGGGTGGTGAGTGTGCAAAAAAAAACAAGAACATGCCGTGGAGTCTAATCGGTAGCTAACCGTTTGTGTTATTCATAGATTGTCCTGCTTGCCTTCTCGGGCTCCATCATCGCCAGCGCCGTCTACTTCTTGTGGCGGGTGGCCCAGTTCCCCCAGATCAGCAACATCGACGCCACGCTCATCGGCGCCACCATGACCACGGCCGTGTTTCTGTGCGCGTACGGCATCGGCAGCGGCCGCGGCAGCCCTGTCGAGTCGTCGCTCCTCTTTGCCTACGTCGTGCTCTGCGTCTATCAGATCTTCACCGACTACCTCCCTTCAGACGGCACCTATTCCTCCGAGGATCAAGCATCGTCGCAGCCCGAGATCCCCCCGCTTCCGCCCATCATCATGGCCTCGTACTCGACCTTGCTCCACATCCTCAGCACCCTCCCCGGCGCCCTGCACTCCTCGCTCGCCCTGCTGTACGCGGCTTTCCAGACCATTACGCCGTCCGTCATCATCTCTCTCGCCTACCGCCTCTTCGTCTTCTACTGCGCCACCCGCATCATCCCATCGGTGCGGGACCTGGGCGCCCGCGCCATGCTGCACGAGCCCGACTGGGACGAGTCAGAAGCGGCATCCATGTTCCTGAGCCTCCTCAGCTACTTTTCGCCCACCATTCTGATATCCGTCTACACCAGCCTGCTGCTGCAGCACTTTTCAACGAGCGAGGGGCCAGACGGATGGACGCTCAGAGGCGGAGACGTGGGCGGCAGCACCTGGCGGTGGATCAACGTGGGACTGACAATGGTGCTGTACGGGGTTGAGCTCATGCTCAGCACGGACGATCAGGACCACTGGAAGGTGGATTGAAGATGATGGCCAATTAGGTATAGAAGGATAGAGCAGGGATTTTTAAGAACAGGAGAAGGACCGCGGCCTTGCACTAGATTGGCCATTTACAAGGGGAAAAACAGGGAACTGCAACCATTCACCAAGAAAGGGGGATATACCTACCTACCTATACAGAGCAGACAAAGGGGGCGGGGCAGGGCGGATTGTCGCATGTACAGGAGTCAAAGCATGCCAAATGTCTGCTCAATGACGAGAAATCCAAGTGTCGTCGCGCCTTTGGGGGTCTCGAGGTAGTCGGGCTGAGAGGCATTACTATTACTTACTACCTTGTTTGCATGGGTAGCATATATATACCTATATAGAAGCGAGCAAATGCCTTTGTTTTTTTTTTTCGATCCTCTTGTTAGATAGCAGTGTATGAATATTTTATCGGAAGCTGCTATATAATCAGAAGCACTATGATTTACGAAGAATGGCTCATCACCAGACTGTCCTCTTTGCTGGCTGGCATCGAGCCCGGCGTGTTGGTTATCAACAGTCGTCTGGCAGAAATCCATCAACAATATCTCGATAGATGATGATCTGCAGATCCGATTGCCGAGCTCAGCACTGATTATTTCGTGATTCCGTTCAAGAATGACTAATCCGGAAATAGATTAGAGGCATTTACGGACGTTGGTGCTCGGCATTCGTAGAGCTGGCTGTAAGATGGGAGGTCATCCATCCCTCTTACATGTAATAAATCCATCTTGCCTTTACATCAGCTCACCTCTCATCCCTCAGTTCACTTCTGATTCATCTACACTCTTCCTTACCCGTTCTCCTCCCTGCAGCCTCATCCTCATCCTCATCCCCATCCTTCATCCTCATCAGAAAAATCAGCCTCCATCAAACATGGTCAAAGACAACGAATACACCACAAAGGGCCTCCCCCCTCCCCCCCACGTCTCCATCACCACAAAGCCCATGGCCGGCCTCCTCGTCGACATCTACGGCCTGGAAGAGCTGCCCCCAGCCCCCGCGCCCGTGTCATGCCTGTGGCTGCTGCATCCCCGAACGCGCGCAAGGGGCATCATGCACGACGTTGCGCGACGCACCATCCACGCATGGAACCAGAACCAGAACCAGAAGCAAAAGCAGAAGCAGGGCCAAGCTGTTCAGGCGAGGGGGCTCGTGGCGCTGGTGTTTGACATGCCGAACCACGGCTCCCGGACGGTGAGCGAGCTGGCCAACAAGGCGTGGGACCAAGGCAACGAGCAGCACGCCATGGACATGCTGGGCTTTGTGAGGGCCGGCGCGGCGGACGTGAGCTTGTTGATGGACCAGGTGGGCGGGTATCTGGGCAGGGACGAGGTGGATGGGCATGTCTGTCTCGGATGGAGCTTGGGAGGGCACGCGGCGTGGGAGAGCTGGTTTGCCGAGGAGAGGGTTGATGCGGCGGTTGCGGTTGTGGGATGTCCGGATCTTGCGGGTGAGTTTCTTTTTTTTTTTTTTTTTTTTTTTTTCTTGCGCTGAAGGCATCTTGATGTTGATGAGCTGCTGACGGGGATGAATGTAGGCCTGTTGAGTAGCCGGGCTGCGGCATCAAAGCTGGACTGCGGCGAGACGGGGTTCCTGGGCAGCAAGTACTTCCCGGCCGATACCATTGCCGCCATACGGAAGAGCGATCCAAAGGGCATTCTCTTCGGGACGGACCCCGTGCCCTCACTGCCCCTTTCTCAGGCCGAGCAGGACCGGCTGCGTAAGATCTTTGATGGCCGCATCAGGGGCAAGAAGCTGCTCTTGTGCTCGGGGGCCGCAGACGAGCTTGTTCCGTATAAGCACGCCCAGCCGCTGATTGGCGTGTTGAAGGATGCCGCCGAGGGATGGTACAAGGATGGCGGGCTGGAGGTGGATGATCGTGTGTATGAGGGCGTGGGACACAAGTTTTCAGCGGACATGGTGCGTGATGCCGTGGAGTTTTTGGTGAGGGTTGTTGGGGAGGGGAGACGTGGGAGGGATGCTGGTGAGGCGAGGGCGAAGATGTAAATATGGCTATAGACTGACTAGGTATATAGATAGACGAGGTGGGCTAAATCCAAACTGCATTCTCGACGACTGACGTAAAGACATGATTAAACAGAGCTTAGGTATGCAGCTTACAGAGCTGATGGACCTGTGTTGGCGGAACGGGCAGCCTCCCATTTCGCCATGGAGCGTGCCATCCTGTCCATCTTGTCCTCCATGGCACCGACTCTCTCGTTCAAATCTGCCATTCTCTTCAATGTGCCGGCCTTCATCTCGCACACGGCCGATTCTATGTGAGTCTGAGTATTGCTGACATACAGCCCCAGACGTCTTTCCAACTGCTTGAACTGAGTGTGATCCACGAATGTCCGAGTCCGGATCTTGTCTTCGTTGTCGTCGTCGTTTACTTCGAAGGCTTCAGAAGCTGACCTCTTCTTGCCAATCTTGTTGATCTGTTCCATTGCTTCTCCCATTGATTGATTGAGTCTCTGAATCAGCTCTAGTTGCTTTTCCATGCCTTTCATGAGCTCGTCCAGACGCTTGTCGACTCTCCCCTGCCCTTCTTTCAAGCTCTGAGAGACAGCCTTGATGTTTCGCCTTTCCGATTTCTTGTCCGCCTCCAGGATGTCTTCTAGGTCGTAGAGGTGAGTTGAGAGTTTCTTCGCGGCGTCAGTGACGTGCTTCTTAATGCGTGATTCCATGCCACGGTCCGGGTCCCCCTTGAGAGGGTTCGGTGAGGAGTCGACGAAGAGGGGAGTGCCGAAGCCGGTTTGAGATTGGATGCTGGTTGCTTGAGTTGAACCTGGGGCGTTGGATCATCAGCACTTTGTTTGACATGGAACTATTGGCACTCTGGGGACGGCCGTCTGGTGCATCTCACCTGGAGTTGGCTTCGAGGTTTTGTTTTTGACGCCTTTGGTCATGATGCTGGTTGATGGTGGCAAAACAAACGAGGGATGTATGATGGTGGAGGAGTCAAGAGAGCGCCGCTCGCTTTGTAGGTAGAGCATGAGAAGATTTATCTTTGATAAGTGCCTACTAGCAGTTCACCTGTTGTCGGGAGGAGCGGCTCGTACTGGTAAAGCAACAACGATGGCGATAACAGCGAGCGTAAATACATTAGATAAGGTAGACACTGCTTCGATACAGTTTCCAAACCTGGTAGTAGAAGATGACACACCCTGCCCCCCCTATCTAGAAGCCCTGAGCAACAGGGTGAAAGAAACCACTGCCGGTCAGCCACTATAGATCCAGGGAGTGGTTATCGCACAGCACCTCACGTTGAGGCACACAGACTTTAAACCCACTTCAAGATTTTGCTTAAAACTCAGCTATAACAAGATCAAGATTGTAGCTTATCCTAAGACTAGGCTGATATAGCAACACTAGCAGAGAGTAGCTAGGGAGAGTAGAGTCTTCTGCTAGACAGTCATCTTTGGTCTAGTTTGTATATGATGGGCGGCGGTGTTGATTTTTGTCCCCTTGGTAGTGGAAGTAATGCTCCAGCTAAGCCACCTCTACAGCACCAATCCTCTCATCTCCATCTGTTGGTTCATTAGAATGCCCAATAAATTCTCGAACGGCCTTCTCCGGGTGCTTCTAGACGTCGCTGATCTGAGGGTCACGAGGCGTTCATCGGGTTGCTCCTTGAAGTCATGCAATTCGCCTTCTCCTCGACAGCAACAATCTTCTCGTCTAGATCTGCCAACCTCACGAATGTGCCTCACTTCATATCGCAGACGGCCCGCCCCCTTTCTCTCTATGAACGACATAATTAGGCTTTCGATGAGGATTCCCATATTCGCTAAGCATGATATTCACTTCCACGGCCTCGGCGCACCATCAACCAGGGTCTCAGCCTCACCCTCACCCTCCGTCACCAGTCCCCCCTTATCACCACCCTTCTCCTTGAAGATTCCCTGCCACACGCCCCAAGGATTCCTCCTCCTCCTCTTCCCCGCCAATACCTCCCCCCTTCCATGCGGATCCCGCGTCCAATCATCCACAGCCTGCCCAACGCCCTTCATCCCATCGACATTCTCCTCATTCGTCATTCCAGGCGGATCAATCCCCACAAACGCCGTCCTTTCCAGGGGAAACCCAATAGCCGTGCAGTGGCCATTGACGAGACGCGGCTCTTTGAATGCGTGCGATACAACCGTCAAGTGCGCAGGCCAAGTGTGAAAACGAGTGTAGAAGAGCGTCAGGCTGAAGAGAACATTATGATAGGAATCCAGCGCGCGATCTTCAATCAGGACTTTGCTCGAGGGATTCTTTGTAGAGGGGATGATGTTGAAGAAGTTGTTGGAAGAAGCAATGTTGGCATAGCTTTGGGCTTCACTCAACTGCGTCTCTCTGCGAGTCGGGCCACTACAGTATATCCAAATAACTCAGCATCCCAACTATACGCTCACTCTTGTGCTCCACAGGTCTATCTTCAGAAAAAAGGAGAAGAAAGATTATAGGGGAAAGAAAGGAAAGAAGCCGTGGTGTTACCCCGAAAATGCGAGCATAGCATTGTCATAGTCCTCCGCAAGGCACCGAAGCCCGGCTTTAATGTGCTCGATAAACGTGGCCGTTTCGCCGCGCTGGAAATCGGCAATAAGCCACTCGTCTTCGCTGAACCCGTTGGAAGGGCCGCCGGTCCAGACGCCGTGGCAGCAGACGATAATCAAGTGGTTTGGGGACGGCATTTGCTGGCGGTGGTTTGCTGGGGTGAGGTTGGGTTGATTCGTGTGAAATGGTGTGAGAAGTGGGTGCTGGTAAATAATATGTTGGTTCAGGGTTAGTGTTGATGACTTGCATTGATAAATCGGGTAGTGGTTGACGGAGGCTCTCAAAATTGACATTTCACGACCGTTTCTTTAGATTGACTATATTCTGATGATGCTTCTCGTAAAGCTCGAGACTATAACCTAAGGGACATGAAAAGCTAGATGTGTTGAAGCCAAGAAGTATAAGCAAGACCAAACACCGCTCTATATAACTGCCAGCATTGCCTTTTAGGGCTGACCGAACATCATCTTCTATCCATATATACCGCCCAGCCCATTCGTACATGATATCCTTCCTATAATACACGCCAATCACTCCTCATCATCAGGGCTTGCTCGAATCGGCCTCAAGAGACAACTCGGCCCTTTGTCAACTTGTCGACGAGATCGCGCGCTTCCGTGGCAGCAGTCTCCTTGCTAAGAGTACCCTCCCGACGACTGGCCCTCTTCTCAAATCGCGAAGTCTGTGACTCCAACGCCTTCTCTTCCCCACGGGCGGCTTGACCAGACTGAGAGGCAGTTGCGACATCCCGGGAAACAGGAGCAGCTTCATCTGCTGCTGCAGGAGCTGTACCGTCATCCTCGGGAAAGGGAAACTTGGGCACCTTGGGCTTCGGCGGCCGCCCAAACACCTGCTCGTAGCTCATAAACTTGTTCTCGGACAAGGGCACATATCCCCGAAGCTTGAACATGGCGCTGTTGTATGCGCTGAGATGCTCCTCGTGGTGCCGCTTGAGCGTTTCCATGCTGACTTGCAACTCGGACTTGTCGGTGGCAGCGGCCGCATTGGCTGGCTCAGCCGCCAGGTCCTTTTCCACACTCTCTATGGCGCTACGGTAACCATCTGCTTGCTTCTTGTGAAACTCGGCCTGCCGCTGCAAGGCTCGGATCCGCTCGGGCACGCGGGCAGACCTGGGCTGGCCACCGTGCCTCACTGCTCTAAAGGTAGAGTTCCGCGCAGGCGACAGATACCAATGTCTCCGCGCTCGCTTAAACTCCCTGACCTCTTCAGGAGTCAGCGTCCGCTGTTGCGATTGTTGAATGTACCACCACAGCTGCGAGGGACCCGGTCTTCGGGTTTTGGTCTTCCTCTTTGGCTCGACACCGTCCAGCTTGTAAAAGTTCCTAATCAGATAGAGGCTACCCGTTAGTATGACTGGCCCCTCTCCGGCCTTTTCGCAAGCCCACTGCACGCCGGCGCCGACTCGAGGATCCCCGTCGTACAGCTGAGATTCATGGCGAACAATGGACCTGCCAATCTCACGGCCGAGCTCAGCAGGCGCGGGCGGTGGTTCGTTGGGAGCGGGAGCATATTCAACAAAGGCAAAGTTGTCTTGGGGCTGTACCAGAGTGGAGATGACCTTTGCAAACGGCTTGGACTTGCTGTCTGACAGCCCCATGATCCACGAAACCGGCTCGTCTCCCTGGCGGACTTGGTGCTGCACGTACGAAGCCAGCGCTTCGGCTCCAAGCAGGTTGTGAGCTCCATCCACAAGGATCGGTTGTTGACGAGTGCCGCCAGTGAGGCCGAGCACCCTGACTTGCTCTTTTCGTCCAGACGGGAGAGGTTCCATTGCCAACAGCTTGTTGACGTCAATTTCGAGGTCTGGAAACAGGTGTCGGAAGGCGAGTGTCGCACAGAGAAGGTTCTGCCTCTCGTAGTCCTCCAGCTTGAATCGCTCAGTATCGAGACCGGCCAACAGAGACTCGCCTTTCCATGACGGGCTGATCTGGGTACCAATGCTGCTGGCATGTTTCCGGAGAACCTTGAGGACTGAGCTGGAGTTGGAGTGGTCGACAATGCAGGGCACGCCGGGCCGCATGATGCCGGCCTTGACCTTTGCAATGTCCTCAACCGTGTTGCCGAGGTACTCTTGGTGGTCGAGGTCGATCTTGGTGATGACGGTGACGGACTTTTGCCTCATGATGTTGGTCGCATCGGTTTCGCCGCCCATGCCGACCTCGACAACGCCGTAGCTGACATGCATCTTCTCAAAGATGCGGAAGGCGGCCGCCGTCTCCAGCTCAAAGGGCGTCAGGCTGCCCGGATCCTCGCCGGCGGCAAACCGCCAGCCCGAGGCCACCCGGTTGAACTTTTCCTCAATGTGCTTCACCTCGAGCTCGTACATGCGCTTGTTGACGTACAGGCCGTTGATGGTCACGCCGTTGTGCCTCTCGGGCATGGCCGGCGACGTGTACATGCCATGGCTGATGCCGGACAGCCTGAAGAGCCCCGAGAGCAGGTTGCAGACGGATCCCTTGCCGTTGGTGCCGCCAACATGGACGCCCAGCCAGCTCTGCTGCTGCGGCACGACGTGGCCGATGCGCTCGAGGCCCAGGCGGATGTTGCGGCTTGTCGATGCCACCTTTTTCTCGGCCGGCATGACGGCTCTGATGCGGGCCAGAGCCCGGTTGACCTCTTTGGCGGACGGCATGGGAGCGGCTGAAGCGGGAGAACTCAGGCGGAGGAAGCCATAGAGGAGGGAGCTGAGCCTCTCGGAGGAGACGGTAGAGGTTGAGGACTGATTGACGCCGAAAGAGGTGTGGCTTTGGAACTTCTACTGTAACTCACTGTGATGTCGTCGTCGGTTGATGAAGCCGAGTCGATTTCTCATGATGATAGTATCTACCTTGGGTATCTGATAAGCTGGCTTAGTCATGCCGAAATCTCACCAACCGATCCTGGCGCAGGTGAACACGCGCACCAGCCACTTATTACTGGGTAAGGTACTCTTGGTATCTGCTACCTAAGGTAGTAGTAGGAAGGTACTACCTCCGTAAGCCGCTTGTGGCTTGAGAAGCGCGCTGTCTGTTGCACGAACAAGCATTCGATCCCATCAGATTTTGCCGCACCGCCACAGCTGCTGGTTACCAGGACACTCCCCCATGTTCCTCTTCCTCGTCTTCTCGCGTGCAACTCGATCCGCGCCACAAACAGATGCAGAGCATCTTGCTCTTCAGCCGCCTCGCCATTTACCCTCGATTACCGCCGTCTCTCCTCCTCCTCCATCATCAATCACCACCGCCATTCGCTCGTTTCCAACCATCTCGCCGAGTCGCTGAACGACGACTGGCATACTCTCCCTCATCAGTACCACATCCTACAGGTACCTACGCATAACCTCCAGCATTCCTCCGCCGCGATAAACTGCCGTCATCGCCAGGGATCGCCCGCCAGGCGCTGCCAGTTGCACCACGCCCTCAATCCGGCTCCCATCGCTGCGCTTCCTCATCATCACGTCGCTCAGGTGTCGCTCCTTTGCAAATAATCTGCTCATCAACCACATGCGCCATGGGTCGCCCGTGAGTCTCATTTTCCCCCTTGGCTTCTTGTCCCCAACCCGCTGCTTGGACCGTGGGCGGCCCCCTGCCCTGGTCTCTACCGCTTCTGCACCTGCGTTGGATTCTCTGCAACAGCCGTGTTTTCTCGCGCGCGTTATGCGCACTGTCACTCGCCATGGAGGCGCGCCTAACTGCCCTCTTGGCATCTGGCTGCTCATCGCGACGAAAGTCACTGCACTTGGCGTTGCACATTCCTCGTCTTCCTCTTGTGCTCTTCACATCGACGCCGCCGTCGCCTTCTCGTCTCTTCCGTCTCCTGCTGCTGCGTCGCACAACGCCCCAACTGACATTTCATCGTCTCCGGCAGACTCTTCGTTGCCCCCGTCGAGACCGATCTTCCTCACAAAGAGGCGACCAAGCGTGACGTGCTCTCTCCTGGCCGCTCAGCCATCAGGCGCTCGGCCCAGGCAGGCTTTCGCGATAGGCGGAACGCCATCAGACGCGCCGCCGTCCGCATCGTCGACATTCCACCACCCTCTGCCCCGCTGTCTCCCCCGCGAAGAAGGGTCAATTCTACCACCTTTGAGGCCAACAGCTGGGAGGCCGAGCTGGGTTTTGCCGAAGAGCCAGAGCCGGCGCGCGAGGCATTGAGGGATGTCACCACCAGACCGGAGCGACGGAGAGACCGCTACCTGGAACAGCAGATGAGCTCCATCTTTGGCGGCACTTGGCATAGCTTCAGTCCCCCATCATCTCAGAGGGATGATGAAGCTCGAGCGGAAAGAGACTTTTGGTGGAACGAACCTCGACCACGGCGCGCCCGCGTTGTAAGTTGGGTCCCCAGGCAACTGGATTGACAGGCCGCTAACACATACCCTCTCAAGGTTGCGCCAGACGATCTGAGACGCAACCGCAGCAATCCCCACGAGCACCATTCTCACCAAACAGGCACTCCACCGCTGCGCCCGGCGCGGGACGGGCTCGAAAGGTCGCGCACCGAATCGCCGTCAAACGACGACGCATCTCAGCCGAACGCCTTTCATGTCTACAGGCGTTGGCGCCGGAACCAAGCACAAGCACGCGAGTTCCGAGCGCTCATGCGGCACTCGTACGCCAACACCCGTCCCGACTCCAACTCGTTTGATGGCCTAGGAGACCGCGACAGGAGCCTGAGCCCGGAGGGCTGGGACACCTTGCTCTCGACCCTGACGCCTGACCCCCAAGCACCCAGCGCAACGTCTTCGTTTGCCTCTGCAGCCGCGTCCCAAAACGCAGGCCCTTCCAATGCCCTTCCGCCTGCCCCGGGCGTGCCTGACGAAGCTGCTGACGGTGCTTGTGAATCGGGACATGAGATGTCTGATGATGACGACGATGACGACAACAACAACAACTATGCCAATTGGCAGTCCCGGGCTGATTCGCTCACCAGAGACGTGGGGGTTGTGCGCCTCTACAGTCTCAACGGCGTTCCGGCGCCTGGAGTACCGCTCCCTAGGCCCGAATCATTGAGACGCATTCGGAGCCTCGCGCCCCGGGATCATTCGCTGTCGCTGACCCGCGCTCGAACTTCGGGCTCAGGCTCAGAGGACGAGAGCCGACCCGGCCGCCTCCAGCCTAACCGGGAGGACTCAGCCGGCAGCGGACGTGGTGCTCATGCTGGGGACGAGGAGTGGTCAGGCATGCAGCGAATCGTTCGCAGTCTTGCGGCCAGAGAAGACATTCCGGACGAGTGGTGGGCTGAGGCTGGCCTGAACCGAACACTTCCCCAAGATGGGTCTCATTGGTGAGGGGGGGAAAGTTCCTTGATGTAAATGACCGAGAGCGTCAGCTTGTACAGAAAAGCAGTCTTGTTTCATGAAAGCGGAGATGGCCGCTGCTGGGCATATGGGCATATTTGGTTCTTGCTGATTGATTGGTTTGGAATATATGTTTGGGTTCTATGCCCTCTCCGGCGGGAAAGGGAGACTGGCTACCAAGTTGACCAGATTGATTGTCGATGACGAGAAAACGGCATGTACTATAATTATGTGATGACGGGTTATTGTATTTGGAAGCGCGGCATGATTGGCATTCGCGCATGCAAGGCTTGAGCTAGCAATGTTATACTTGGTTCGGTATCGATTTTAGTAACCTGTTGTTCTTTGTGCATATCGCTCTTGGGCAACGGCATGTCATTGCAAACCAGATGAAATGACTGGCGCGGGTGTGCGCAGATTGACATGGATGTCATAGACGGACTTGAGGGAGTCTTATGATGCTGCTGCGCTCGACGGTCGGTTTTCTAGGCTGAGCCTAGCAAACTCGGCTATCGATTTTTCTTTCTTTCTTTCTTTTTCTTTTTGCGCACTGACGATTCGTTGAAGGTTTTCCATACCTAGTACTAGTAGTATATACACACAAGATGAACAGGGGGATGCCGGAAGAGGGAGGAGGAGACAGACAGGATGGTGAGGACAAGGGCCACGGATGTTGTCGGTGGCAAGGCTGTAATATATCAGAACACCACGACTCCTTACGGCCGCCAGGAGGGCAATAGCCGGCGTACAAGTGCAAACTCTATGTGTGCTGGGAGCTCAAAACGGGGATGATGGGAGTGTTTTCCATGGCTATGGCTAAAGCTAGTATTCTTCTCGCTGGCAGGGGTCAGTAAGACGATGGGTGGGGGGCTTGAGGCTTGGGGCCATGGCATCTGGGATCCGGGATTCTATTCGGGGCTCCTGATACAGCGATGGATGGCTTCTGGCAAGGCGTCATCACTAAGACGGATGGGGGAGCACGAGGGCCGGGCAAGGTTTGCGGCGATGAGAAGCTTGTATGAACGGATGCCAGTCAAGGATTCCGCGATATGTAATAGCATCTCTAATGGCTCATCAAGGTATGGAGGGAGTCTAGTAAAAGAGATCAATGCATCCATGCCTGGTATTAGATTGTGAATAGATAGGTAGGTACTATTACTAGTAGATAGGTAGACAGGTGAATATCGTGGTGCAGTGTGCTTCCTCCAAGTTTTTTTTGTCTCGACTCTCCCTGGCTCTGCTCTCCCTTTAGGCGGCATCTTCAGAAGCTCAGTCGGCGCGTTGTCGTGGGTACCCAACTTGCATTGCAGTCCACGGCCAACCAGCCAGCCTCGAGCAACTCTGCAAACTCCACAACCGCCAGTTGAGCTCTCCGTCTCCAATTCAGCTCAGCCGCAGCACCGGAATCGAGAGCTGCACCAACTACCTACTACCTAACTGCAGTATTACCTAGCTTAACAATATTCCAGCAGACGGCACGCACACACGCACACATACACACGCACACACACGCGCGCGCCCTGGCCGAACCCGATCCCATCCACCATCCGCCAGCTCTGGACTCTGCTTGTCCTTTCTCTTGCTTCTCCATCTTCTCTTCTTCATCCCCTCGTGCTCCTTCAGCATCGTCATCTCTCGCGGCCTCCATGCGTGACCCTCCTGCCTGCTGCAGCGATCCTCCCCCGCCGCCGCCTTTTCGATGAATGCTGCTCGCCGTTGAACCAAAACCAGCCGCGGACGAATGCGAGCGGCACACGAAGCCACAGACCCATCAGCGGGCATGCCATCGACTCCTCCTCCTCCTCGACGAACCATCTCCCTGCCACCTCGCCAGTCGCCGCTGTCTTGCCCGCCGTCGAGGTAGAGAGCATTCGACGCGGAGACCCGAGTCCAGCTGAGCTGCGCAGACCACACAGAAGGGAAGGGCGAGACGCACACACACAGACACGCACACACGTACACACCCATACACACACCAAAGACCCCACGAGCATCGCCAGATAAGATACGAGTGAGTGAGGGCGAGAGGGCGGACGGAACGATACAAAGGACATCCAATCGACACACAGAGATGCCGGCCGAGAACATCTATCCCGCTAGCAATGGGCGGTTCGCCGCAGGCACTCCGCGCGAGAGAACGCCTGCCGGCCAGGCCACGCCGTCTCGCAAGGACCGCCAAAGGGAGAGCTCGGCCATGCAGGACCCGGGGCTCAAGGACTACGTACGTGTTTCGAACACCTCCTTTGATCTACTGAGAAAGAGAAAGAAAGTGCAATTCGACTCGGAGCGGCAATGGCCTGCTTGGGCCGTGGGGGGGAAACTGATCAGAACGGTCTTCTTGTTGCGAGTTATAGAACGGTTGTGCTGATTGGATGATATAGCGATTGGGCGAATGCCTCGGCAAGGGAGCCTTTGGATCGGTGTACAAGGCCTTCAACTGGGGCACCGGCGAGGCTGTCGCCATCAAGCAGATTAAGCTGACGGATCTGCCCAAGAGCGAGCTGCGCATGATTGAGGTGAGATTTCTGGGATCGCATCACACGGCAATCCTCTCCCATTGTGTCCTTCAGACTTGTTCTGAGCTTGATTGGGTGAAGCTGACCTGGATTGATCATCCATATGATCACAGAGCGAAATCGACCTTCTCAAAAATCTTTTTGTGAGTACAGGACAACTCTCTGGACTGAACGGACAGGAGCAAGGGCTAACTGTAAGCAGCATGACAACATTGTCAAGTACATTGGCGCCGTCAAGACAACGGAATGCCTCAACATCATCTTGGAGTAGGCGATCCAACCAATTCACCTAAGCCATGGATAAGCGTGCGAAAGCTAACCCAGGCGTCATCAGATACTGTGAAAATGGCTCTCTGCATTCGATATGCAGAGAATATGGCAAGTTCCCCGAAAACCTGGTTGGCGTCTACATGACCCAAGTCCTCCAGGGCCTCCAGTACCTCCACGACCAGGGTGTCATCCACCGCGACATCAAGGGCGCCAACATCCTCACCACCAAGGACGGGACCGTCAAGCTTGCCGACTTTGGCGTCTCGACCAGCACGCTCGCTGGTGGCCAGGACAAGGAGGCGCAGGTCGTCGGCACCCCTTACTGGATGGCCCCTGAGATCATCCAGCTGTCCGGCGCCAGCTCTGCCTCGGATATCTGGAGCGTCGGGTGCACCGTCATCGAGCTTCTCCAGGGTCGGCCGCCATACCACAACCTGGCTGCCATGCCGGCGCTGTTCGCCATTGTCAATGATGACCACCCTCCATTGCCTGAGGGCATCTCCGCCGTGCGTTTTCTCCTGCCGACTCTTTCCCCACTTGAAGCGAGGATTCTTATAGAGTGTTGTAAACTAACATGCAACACTTAGGCTGCCCGAGATTTCCTGATGCAGTGCTTCCAAAAAGACCCCAATCTCAGAGTCTCGGCTCGAAAACTGCTTCGGCATGCTTGGATTGTGGGATGTCGCCGCACAGATGCCCCAGTCTCAAGGCCGCCAGCCAACTTTAATGAAGCCGTTGAAGAGGTCAAGCAGTGGAACAAGGCCCTCAATTCCTCGGGGACTTCTCTTCGCACTTCGACCGGCGCTGAAGGCATCTCTCGATATCCTACCGGCACACCCTCCAAGAGCAGATTGAGTCTTGCCAAGCCAAGGCTCAGTGCTGGCGCGCCGGGAGTGGGAGCCTTTAAGCTGGCCGAGCTAGGTATGCCGGCGATCTCAACTCGATCAACCTTGAAAGTAAAGACTGACTCTGACTTCAGATGATGATAACTGGGACGACGACTTCGCCACGGCAATTTCACCGAGTGCCCTACAGCTACCGCATCTGAGGCCGCAGGACAACTTTGGAGGGCTTCTGTCTGCTGACAAGCTCAAGGCTTTTGCGTCAGTGAATGACCTCAGAGCCGACGTAAACAATTACGATGGGGATTTCGAAGGCGACATGATGACCATCAAGGGGCCAAACCAACAAGATCAGCCAAACCATCAGCTCTACCAGGAATCACAGGAACAGACGATACGACCCGTGTCAAGGAGGATGACGACTTCGAAGCCTGCGTCACCACCAAAAGTACTACACCAAGCGTCCAGATCAGCGCCTGAACCAGCAGTCACCTCACCCAACCTGTCTCGGACGAAGTCGCCTCCAAAATCTCACTTTGGCAACAAGTTTGAGCTGCCTCCTCGCCCGGGCTCCATCTACAGAGAGCAAAGCTCTGAGGACTATTCCGACCTCTTCTCTGATGACGATAGTGTGTTTGACCAGAAGGTCCATCAAGCTGTCCGAAAGGTAAGCTTTCGTACCCCTCGTAATGATTCGCGTGTGAAAATGATCAGGTAGCTTACAGGGGCCAAATCCATATAGGGCGGCCTGCGTCAACCTGAAGCACCCCAGCTCTTCCATCCGTCCGACCTTACCAGCTTGCCTCGCTCAATGCAGGCGCCAGATGGCAGCGTTGTAAGAAAGAAGCCCCTCTCAAGGCCCTCAGTCCTCCCCGACCGTCCCATGAGACGCACTCGCTCTTCTATCGAGATCCAGAAGTTCGCCGAAGATGATGATGAGGACTTCTCCGACGTGTTTGGGCCTGAAGAATCCATAGCCGAAAAGGAAGAAAGCGAGCGAGGCTCGGAAGATGCCGGCCTCATGCTCATGTCCCGAATGTCGGGCAACTCCTGGCTGGGCGATGACGACGACGAAGATGATCCGTTTGCCTCCATGGATCCGGGGTGGGATGAGATGGACATGGACGCAAAGATTGCGCGAGACAGGCATGCGCGTCTTGCCGAGAAGGTTGAGGAGCTGGTGGGCTCTTTGAAGATGACGGAAAGTGATGATATCTTGGCGGAGCTATCTGAAGAACTGGTGAGTGTGTTCGATGGATGTTGGGCCGCGCGTTCGCGAATTTCATGCTGACTCCCGTTTGTAGCTTGTATTGCTCTGGGAAAATCCCGAAGCGAAGAACTTGATCATCAGTGCTCACGGATT